ATAAATTATTTTATTAAAATAAGTTTTTCTTTTAATTTATATAATAATAAATACTATAAAGTTTAATAAAATTTTATAAAAAATTAAATATAAATAAAAGATTTTATAAAAATTATTATTAATTAAAATATAATTTTATAAATAATTTTAAAAATATTATATAAACTTAATAATATTAAAACTATTATATTATTACTTATTATTTATAAAATAATAAATAAATTAAAAATAAACTAAACTTTAAAATAATACCTTAAATTATTTATAATTAAAAATATTTAAAACTAATTAAAATTATTATATATTATATTTTTATATATAATTTAATTTAAAATATAATAATTAAAATAAATTTATTTAAAATATTATTAAAATATAAACTTTTTTATAATTTTATATAATTAATAATTTATTAAAAATAATATATTATAAAAAATATTAATAATAAAAAGTAATTAAAAAGCTTTAATAAATCTATATAAAATATTAAAAATTAAATAAAGGTTATTAAAGTTTAAACTTAAAACTATAATATATATTATTAATCTAAATAATTTAAAATTAATAAATAAATATTCTTAATAATTAAATATTTTTACTTAAAGAATAAGAAATTAATTTTATAAAAGATTAATTTATTTAACATTTTAACTTAAATTAATAAGTAAACTTATAATTTAATCTTTTTAAAAATATTTTTAAATATATAATATTTTTATATAAACTAATTAAAACTATAAATAATTAAAATATTAAAAGGCTTATAAAAGATATTATAAATCTATTAAATTTAAAAATAAGTAAATTAAATAAAAGTTAAAGAAGATTTAAAATTATTAAGAAATTAAAGGTACTTTATTATTTAATAAAATAGAAAAATAGTTAAATAAGTATAACTTTTAAATATTAAAAATAAAATATTTATAAATAAAACTATTTAAAAATATTATAAAAAAAAACTTTAATATTTTTAAAAAGAATTTAAAAATAAATAAATAAAAATTAAGAAAAAGGGTTATTTAAGCTATAATAAATAAAAATAAATAAATAATAATTAAATAATAAAAAATAAATATTAAAAAGTAGCTAATAAAATAAGTAATAATATAGTAAATAGTTAATAAATAACCTATAAAGGCTTTATAATAAGTTTATAAAAATAAAATATAATTAAAATATAAACTTAATAAAGAATTAATAAAATAAATAATAATTAAATAAATAAGTTATAAAACTTAATAAATTATTTAAAAATAAATATTAAAGAAATAAGTACTATTAATTAACTATTAAAAAGAGTTAATTAATTATAATATTAAAATTAAAGGGTTATAATAAAAATAATATAAAATATATTAAAATAAATAATTTTAAACTATTTAAATTTATAATAGATTAAAACTTATTTTAAAAGGTAATATAAAAGGGTATTATTATTCTATTTTAAAAACTTTAAAATCTTACCCTTATAATTTTATTTATTAATTTATAATACTTTTAATTAGCTTTTAAGGAGGGCTATTTATATTTTATAAATTATTTTTAAAAAAATAATTTTAAAATTATAAATTAAAACCTTATTTATTATATTTATTACTTTTAAAAACCTTTAAATTAAAATATATTAAATAAAAACTATTATCTATTAAAATTAAATATAATATACTATAATAATCCTTAATTAAATTATAAAAATATTTTTTAAATATTATTTAAATCTTTATTTAAATTAAACTCTATTAATTAAAAATATATAAATTAATTATAACTTATAATTAAAAATATTAACTATTATAATTTCCTTTTTTAAAAAAGTTAATATTAAATTTCTAATAGTAGTTAATTACTTATATTTAATATAAAATTTACTATTTCTTTTATTATTTAATAAACTACCTTAAAACTTAAGGTTTTTAATTTTTTAAAAAGCTAAATAATTATTAAAACTATTTATAAATATATTTATTAAAATATTAATAAATTAAACTTAAAATTATATTAACTTATTCTTTTATATAAATAAAAGTAAAAATTTTATATTATTTATAATTCCTTTTAAAAAATTTTATTAAATAAAAATTAATAATTAATTTAATAATAAAAGAATTTCTTTAATTTAAAAGTTAATAATAATAATAAAAGTAAATAAAAAAGGGTTTATTATAATATAAAAAATAATATTTTATAATATATTAATTATAATAAAAATTATTTAATTAAAAATTATATAAAAATATTTTTATATAAAAAAATACTTTTATTTATTTAAAAAGGTTTTTATATATATATTATAAAGAGTTTATAACTTAATTACTTTATTTTATTTTTATAATTTTAATATAATTTAATATAATATAATTAAAAGAATTTAAATTTATAAAAATATTTTTATATATTTTTAAAAAGAAATATAATATATTTTTAACTTTATAAAGTTAGTTAAATATTAAATATATAAGAGTTAAAATTAAAAATCTTTAAAAATTTAAAAACTTTAAAAACCTTTTATTTAAATTTTAAAATAAAAGGTAATTTTATAACTACTTTTAATAAATTTAAAGGGTATATAAAATAATTTTAAGCTATTTATTTACTACTTTTAAAAATAATTATTAAAACCTTAATAATATTAATATTTTTAATTAAATTATAAATAAATTTAATATAAAAAAATTAAAATTAATAAAATTAAAGTTAATATAATTACTATTAAAGCCTTTAAAGATTAAACTTAATAAATTAAAATAATTTTTAAATAAACTATTTTTACTATTTAAAATAGTATATATAAAATAATATATAAAGTCTTTTAAAAAATTACTTATAAACCTTATAATTATTACCTATAAATAATATAATAATAAATAAAGAGTAATTATAAAATAAAAATATTTTAAATTACTTTAAATAATAAAATATAATAATAATATTTAAAAACTAATAAAATAATTAAGAAAAATAATTAAAACTAAAAAGGAATTTATTAAAACTTAATAAGATTAATTATTAAAGGAAAAAAAGAAAATAAAATAAAAGAGAGAGGTAACTACTTAAAAGAAAGGTTAGCTAGTTTATACCCCTATAAAGATATAATAAAAATTATTAAAAAATTTAATAAATTACTAAAATTAATTAGTAATAGTAAATAAAAAAGATTTTTAAAAAATATAAATAAAAGTAATTAATATTAATTAATAATAATAGTTAAAAATAACCTTTTAAGGAGAGATATAATTATAATAGTTAAATGAAAGCTATAAAAAAGTACCTTAAAGGTACCTTAATATTTAGCTATACCCCTTCCTTAAGCCCCTTAAAAGATAGGTAATATTTACTTACCTCTTTTTTAAAAGAGGTAAAAATTAGTTTTATATTAAACTTAAACCTAATAGATCTTTAAACCTCTCTTTATTTATACTATTATACTTAATATTATAGCTTATTATAAATTTTAAATAATTTTATATTAATATAAATTATATATTTTTATAATTTTATAATATAAAAGTATTTATAGAATATAATAAGAAATTTAAAATTAAAGTTTTATAGTAAACTTTTAAAAGAATATATTATATTATTTTATATAATTTTTACTTATTATTTAATATTAAATTAAAATTAATATTTTAAAAATTAAAATAATTTAAAATAAACTTTATTTAAATTTAAATTTATTATATAACTTATATAATAAATTTAATAAATAAATATATTAATTTTAAATATATTTATTAATTAATTTATTATATTTTATAATTTTAATTAATATAAATATAGAAAATAATATTATATTTATAAAATTATATATATATATATATATAATTAATACTAATTAATTAATTAAATATATATATATATATAATTAACTTTATTTAATTAATTAAAATATTAATTTATAATTAAATTTATAATATAATTTATAAAATTAAGTTTTATTATATTTATTTTATAAATAAATAAATAAATAAATAAATAAATAAATAAATAAATAAATAAATAAATAAATAAATAAATAAATAAATAAATAAATAAATAAATAAATAAATAAATAAATAAATAAATAAATAAATAAATAAATAAATAAATAAATAAATAAATAAATAAATAAATAAATAAATAAATAAATAAATAAATAAAGAATTAATAATTTAAAATTAATAAATAAAATTATTACTTTATTTATTTTATTTATTTTATTTACTTTATTTACTTTATATACTTTATATAAGTTATAAACCCTAACCCTTAATTTTTATATTATTTTATAAATACTTTAATATTATAAAGATTATAATAATATATTTTTATATTAATATAAAATTATTTAAAGTTAATATATTTAATAATATAAGTATAAAAAAGTAATAAAATCTAGTTGAACCCTAACCCTAGAATTTTATACTTATTTTATTTAAATTCCTTAAAAAATAAGGTTTCTAAAACTACTTTTATTACTTTATACTATTTTTATTTAAATAAGTTAGACTAAGTTAAGTATAGTGTTTTATTTTTTTTAAGTGTGTGGGGGTTTTGGCCGTGTGGGGGTTTTGGCACCCACTGCGCCAGCAGTGGGTTCCTCGGAGCGAGAGCGAACCCACGGGTACCCCCACCTCCCCAGGTGCCTCACCCCAACTCCTGTGACAATGCAACCTCGAGATCTCAACGTTCATCCAGTCTTGTTGGAGGGGCATGTGACAAGGTTGACACAGCACACATGATGAGGCAGCCCTAGAACAATCCGAGCAATGCACAGTCAAGGCGCACCAAGATCAGCGCAGCCAATTGTAAGTAAAGCAATGAAAATTCTCTATAGGATTCTAACATCTTCCACCACAACTCTCTTCCACTGAAAACAGCGCATGAAACGTATACGGAGTGAAAACGAAAACAAGTAACGATCTAACATCTTCCACGATTCTCCCCAACTGAAAACAGCTAATCGGACAGGTATAGTAAAGACCGAAACCAGCGGAAACCAGCTCACTCGAGTTCTCCCACTAGCAGGTCAGAGTCTGCTTGGGAGCATCGTACTTGCAGGCACCGCCGTTGTCGTTGACAGCCATCTGCGAGCTGTGTCAGTCTTCTGTGTACAGTAGGAAGGCAGTTCGAAGAATTATAGAAGCGACTTACGTTCTGGAACCCGCCGTCTCCCTTGCCGACGAAAACACCGCCTGCCTTCAAGTAGAAGCAGTCATAGCTAGTTGGTGGTCCGTGATTAGTCTCTGTGCCACCATAGAAGGATTATCAAGGATTGGGAGCGATGGGCAAGAAAGTAATAGGAAACTTACTTGGTGAAGAGGTTTCCAGAAGTCAGCTTGAGGCTGACGATGTCGCTCCTCAGCTTGGGGTCATTGACGGTGTAGTCCTGGTTCTTGCAGACTGCACCCTTGAAGCTGGGGTCGGCGCCGATCTTCTTGATCATGGCATCCACGGCATCCACGGTGAACTCCTGGCGGACCTATCGATGGATTAGAATCAAATCGAACAATGAAGAGCTCCAAGTCAAGGGGAGGGGGGTTTGTTGCTCACCTTGTCCCAGGTCGAGAGGTCCTTGATAAGCCCCTTGAGGGAGTTCAGGCCCTCAGTGGTTGCCCAGGTGGCGGCGGCGGTGCCGGCAGAAGTGAGGATGAAGAGGCTGACAGGGTCAATCACTCGCTTCTCGACTTGGGTGGACTCCTTGTTCTGGTTCTGATCAAGGGGAGCAGCGGTGGCAGCAAGGAAGAAAGTGGCGGCGGTGAAGAAACGCATTTTGAAGTTGGTGAATGGGTATGAAGTTGGGTAGAAAGTTGCTATCGAAGCTGAAATTTGTAAGAAGGCTGAGGCTTGGTGCTTGGTGCAGAGGCTGTAAGTCTGAAGACTGAAGATTGAGAATTGAAGTGAAGATTGAAGTGAAGATTGAAGTGAAGATTGAAGATGAAGATGCTGATGATGATCTGGATTGAGAGATGGAAAGGGAGCTGACGACGACGTTTATATAGATGGAAGACGATGGCATCGTGGGACTGTCTACAGCCATGTCGACCGACTTTGGTGGTGTAAGTGGATCCAGGCAAGCATGCCAGCTCACTTACAGATTCTCAGTGACCAATCGCTGGCTGCAGAACAACTCCACGATGCAAGAATGTGTTTAGATGAGAGGTACGGCCCCGGTCCCGGCAGTTGTGTAACTAGGCGAGGCTACCTTGGTAAACAGTTCTGTCATTGATGGCAATCACCTTAGCTGAGGCTTAGCCGCACTCAATTAAGTTTCCCCTCGTAGTGCATAATACTGCAGGCCAAGACCCAGCGATATGCTGCCTAGCCGAGTGTCGTTGTGAGCCCATTCGCTGAAAGTTTATCCGCTTCTCTGGATCAAGGCCATCTGGCCCATAAAAAGAACATCAGACGAAAGCTGCCACAACCTGGTCCAGGGGCTCGATCCAAACAAACACACGGACTCTCGGTTCTCGAGGCGAGGGACGGGCCCGCACGGCTGCCACATAGAGTTAAACTTTTAAACTCTTGGCTCGGGAGCCAATCGCGCGGCCATTCTGACATGCACAGCCCTACCAGGCCCCACACTTCGGGACCATCCTACCTAAGATCTTGACAGGCACATATATGGGTGACTGGCATTTTTAGGCGAGTCAGTGCATCTTCGGCAGCCCGGATCCTCCAACTGCCATCAAGCCGACGTCTATCCATGATGATGATGATCTACCAGTAAGGTTTGTTTTCCTGACGTTTCAGCCTCCGCACTTCGCCCGCGTCGCCTACAGGACACAAATAAGTAATTGCTGACAGAGACGAGGTTGAAATTTGTCCTTGATGTCTGTGAAATGTACTCAGCGTGCATTGGCAAAGGGCGCTCTACCTAAAAAAAGAGTCTAGCTAGCTAGCAATGCCGTATAAATATGTTCGGTAGAGGATTTGGGAATCTCTTGGCTTTTGTGGTGCTGCATTAACAAAATGCTTTTCAAATTGATGAGCAGAAAGTGCGGCCTTGAACGCCAAGGGAAGGATTGGCGGGGATAGTTTAAAATGTGTTTAGGAATATTGGTCGAAATAAGTATTGCCAGACAAGGATATTCGGGAACACCCTGTGGATCTGAAAACGGAAACAGAAGCTTATACTAGGAAGAATGTCGATCAAGGACCTCTGAAGCAATGGCGTTGTTAAGGACAACAGACGCGCGGGCGGTGTTTAGTGTGTTTCGAAAAAGGCAGCAACCATACTTTGAATAACATGTGACCCAGACCGTACAATCAGTTTTCTCTTGGAGCATTGGCATGAACCTGCACTATTGAAAATGACGCAGAATACAGTACCATTCATTCCAATCAATACTATTTCCGTGGAGTCCTAGGCTCTGGGCAACTCGTGTCGACGATCAACGCCCGGTCCCGCCGTCGGGAGCGATGCTTTCCAGCATTGTCTGTGCGCCCACGTGCTCAGTCTTCTCACATTGTTTGTTGTTGGCATTGATTCTTTTTTTTAGGAATGTTCTGGGTCTTTGAGTTTACTACCATGTAAAGAGACCGTACACCTTTGGAGTGTATACGGATTCAGAACGAAACCACTTACATTGAGTCCATGTATGGCTTGGTTCCTATGTCACAGTAACTGATAACTATTCCAGTACTGTTTCAGCTTGAGAGATAATCTGACCCAATCCAGCTGTTCGAGTCAGAGGGCTGTAGCTTCTGATTAATTAGGCGTCCTTTGCATCATCACTGAGTAACTCCGGGCGGCTTTACATCAGAGCTCCTCTCATTTCCGCTGTCTTGGCTATTTGTAGGAGTCATTTCTCATATCCTCGTCAATGGGAAATGCCAGTGAACGCCGCTGAGCTCAAATTTGGACCACGCCATCAATGTCAGTCTCAGCTGCTCACCATTGAATGCATGTCGTAGCGTCTCAATGAGTGGGCCAGCGTGTCTCTTTTCTTTCTTTTTTATTCCACCCGTACCTCAAAGATATCAACACTGATAAAATGGCTCCAAATGTCACTGTGCGTTCTGTGCGAGGCGCGCGACATGCGGCACAGGCAGAACACGTAGTGCTGCATATTGGCTGCAGGACAAGCTGCTCGCCCCATCGGGATGTTGGTGAGTTGGTTGTGGCTCAAAGGCTGTTCATTGGATAGCGCCGGCTGTACCTATGTCGTTAATAGCTAAGCTGTACTCCATATACCGTCGTATTTCTGCGCATCTCTGACTTCATCCTTATCCCTGGGGTAGCACGCGGCAGGACAACGTCTCCTTGATCAGCACAACAATGGATTTGTAAACCTTTGGGAGCTCAGCAGTGTCCGGATACACCACTGATCTGCGAAAGCTTGACCAAAATTTTCTTCGGGTACAGTGAAAGCGATCATCGACATTTTGTCGCGGGGCTAATCTGAGAATGGCACTTCTGCTAAGAGATGAGAAATTCGTGCACCTAAAATTATAAGGTACAAACCTTTCCTATTATTTAGTTAATTAAAGTATTAAGTCTTAAAATCCTTATAACTTTTATAAATAACTCTTTTTTATAATTAAGGATTATAAATAAAGTAGGTTAGTCTTTTAGGAATTTAAGTTATATTTATTAATTTAACTTATAACTCTTTACTATACTATATTTTAAAGGTTACTCCCTTTACTTTAGCCGGCCCTTTTATAAAAAGAGTCTTATATAAGTTATATACTTAGTTAGCTAAGGGTGTGTAGCTTTTAATTTTAAGTGTATAAATTTGTACTCTCTCTATTAAATAATAAAACTTAACTATTTTATTATTAAAAGTTAATACTTAAGTAAAGACTATATATATATTATTTATAACTTAAAAAATATAATTTAAAAAAGCTTTATATAAATATATTTATAATATAAAGTTAAAATAAATCTTTATATAATTTTAAATACTAGATCTTAAATATCTACTACTATACTTAGGTACTATATAGGGGCTAGAAACGAAACTATAAGGTGGGTTATATGTTTCATTAGATAGATTGTATTGGCTTGGTAGAAATGGGGGGTCTTCATGTGGGGAACATCTTGTGATATGAGCCATTCGAGCATGAGATCAAACGTACTGGGAGTAGAAAAGGGTTTTATTATAACAATCTGCCTTGAACCATTCAATACCTTGCGGTTGCAGGATGCGCCTCATGTTCTTTACAGATCTTGGTGCTTGAAGCTCAATGTTGTTAGCCTCAAGATCCTGCGCATTTCCTCCGGCTTCATACCGGTACCTTCTCTTCAAAGTCGAGACCATTGTGAAAAATGGCGATCTCGTCCTCAACGGCCATTATGACATTTCCCTTGGGGCTTACTGCCATTGGTCCCACGGTTATCCCGTGCCAATGCACAGGTACGAGGAAATGTCTCGTGTAAAACTTGTCGTTTGTCGCAGTATCCAGGTTGATCGAACAGACCCAGCCACTATGCTGCAAATATATGAGCCAAGATTTGTAAGTTCCTGCGATAGCCTTCAAGTCTTTGATGGACTGCAGAGTAGTTGGTGGATATGATAACGTTGTGGTCGAACGATCGAAGGCTTTCAACGGAAGCAATTGAAAAGATAATGGTCTTTTTGTCGTCATCGCTGGCGCATCTAACCCTGCTATGATGCAGACATACCGGCATGGGTCGGGAATTATCGCCCACGTAACCTTACACTTGGGATCGACGATCGCCAGAAACTCGGTGCCAGGATTGTCAGTAGAGAACAGATCTTCAATGGTCGCCCACGTGCAAAGTTGGCAAGATGTGCCTTCGAAACACATGATCGTCTCATTGTCTGGGTGATTCGCCAATCTCCGGGGTAGACTTGGCTTTGCAAAACCATGTCTACTGACCATTGCAGCAGAGATGAGGTCCCAAACCTCGAGGCTGTCAGCCGTGGAAATGAGCATTTTCTCTCCGTCGGCTTTGACGAGGATTTGATCAATCACACCCTCACACCGTACACTCAGAGACAACTTATTTGACGAGAAGGCGCCAGCACTGTTCTTTTGCACCGTACGGACATACACTTGACCAGACCTGTCTGCAACGATCAACAGATCTCGTGACTTGTTCCAGTCCAGAAAGTCCACAGTCACATTTTTGCTGTCATGAAATAGCTCTTGTGCCATCTTTCCGGATTTCGCCGAGTAGGCTGCAACTGATCCATTTCCACGACCACAGAAGATGCATTCGCCGTCGTGATGAGGTACCAGTGCCGTGATGGCCTTCTCATTGTCGATTGTTTTTGCAATGCTCATCGGAGCTGCCTGAGATACCCGGTCGCTGATGTCGATGCTAGAATCATCGTTGGTGTTGTCGTTACGTCGAACCAGTGCGGATGGTTCCCAAATGCTACAGGTGTTGCTCCTGACCTCAAATAGACGCTGTCCAGAACTATTGAAGGTGATCGCTCGGATCGCTCTCTGGCTGACGAAAGTCTGATGCAATAATTTCATGGTCTCAAAGTCGTACAGCTTGATGAAACCGTTTCCGCTACCGACGGCAAGAACAGTACCGTCCGGAGAAGCCGCCAGCACAGACGCGTCTGTCTGTGCGATGGCTTGCGTTTTCTGTATCTCTGGGTCAAAGACATGTGTGGAACCATCTTGGTAGCTCACTGCCGCTAGGTTGATCTCTGGGTTCGGATTGAATAAGAATGCATGAATGTAAGGCTCCAACGAGGAGGAGTTGGTCGAGCGAGTGAAATGTCCGACAAATTCTTGCTCTTCAAGATCCCAAAATGTCACAGGTCTGAGTCGATATGTTACGCCCAGTAGTCCCAAGTTCATCATGAAGTCTGCATGCATTGGCGACTTTTGGTATTTGTGATATTGTCGCTGGCTCTCGTTCCAATCCCCAAAGGCAAATTTGTCGATTCTCTTCCCTGTATCGATGTCTATCACCAAGGCATAGTTGGCCCTCGTTGCAGTATACAACTGCTTCTCATCTTCACTGAATGACAACGAGAGCGGTTCGTCCCTAGTCAGGAAAGTCCAGACTTGTTTGCCAGTCGCTATGTCCCAGGACTTGATAAGCTTTCTCCCCTGAGATACAATGCGTTCGTATGTCGTACCGAAACATAGCCGTCGAACTGGCTCGCCATGTTGCAGCTGAATCTTTTCTTGGAAAGTCGATTCGTCGTAGATGATCACTTTCCCATTTGCAGTCCCAAGTGCGAAATTGTTCCCTTCACATGCAATGGATAGTATCTGTGTATCAGGAATGACGATGCAGCCGAGTCTTTCATCCCAGTCATCTTGCTCGAGTCCTACCACTTGAAGGCCACGAGGGTGTCCTTTAAATGCTCTGAACAGGATCGACTTCTTCGGGCAAACAGCCGGGATCAGATGATAGATGGCTTGCGGGCTTGCCACAAGTGTCTTTCCGAACTGTGCCACCAGATAAACAAGGTCATTCGCCCAGGCCAGGACATTCTGAACTTCACTCCCCAAGGGCGATTCATATTTCGCTCTTCGATCCATGTAGGCTTTGACATTCTTTGCCGTTCGTGTCAAAGGCGATAGATCGCTTGTTTTTGCTACTGCCTCGATCCATGCCATAGAATTGCTCATGAGGAAGTCGTCCAAAGATGTAAGTAATGTTGAGCTAGACGATGTTGATCGGGCAATGTGGTCCGAGAAGAACGTGACGGCGTAAGAGGAGAACGAAGACCTTTTGGGCTCCTTTTTCTGAGCGAGGGACTTCGCTCGACGGAATCTTGGGGGCTTCATATCCGTGCTGCCCAAGTATGAGAGACATATTTCGGCAATTCTGAAATGCTCCCTTTCCCTAGACATTCCATAATCTGAACCTCCTTTGATGTGATTAAAGAAGAAGTCTCGAACGGTTTGGTGGGTAGCTTGGACACGCGAATCCCGATCGACGTATATAAGATTTCCACAGATCGTGCCAGCTGTCTTGTCCAGTTGGTTCAGATTTTCTCTAATGTCGAGCCTTAGAGCCTCCCTCAACTCATCAACAAACAACGGTCTCATTGAGCATAAGGTCCATCGTAGAATTGCCTTCGCGATAAGCCCAGTCTCTGAGGATGCCATAATGCTGGTTGTTATCTCACTGTACAGCTCATCCATCTCTTTTGGAACGGAGTTGAGGATGTTTTGGACTTGCTCTTGGCTGACAGCATTCTCAATCTTCTTGACCACCAAGTCCGTCCAAAGAAAATTGCCATTCGACATGTCCAAGATAGTTTGGACCAAGGCCTCCCTTTCGGCTTCACTCTCAGCCAGGAAATATGATGCATGCTCATTCAGATAAAGCCCGATATCATATTTGGTTGCATCCAAGGGAATGGTCTCTGCCACCCTCAGGCTTGATATGTTTTCGCGCGAAAACGCTCGTTCGAAGACTAGCGACGGACGGCTGGTCACGAAGATTCGTAAAGGGATATGCTTTTCGATCTTGGCGACTAGTGGAAAGAAAGCTGCGGGGTTAGATGACTCGTCAAGGCCATCGATAACCCAGTAATGTAGTTGCTGAAACGAGATTCGAAGAATGCGACCTACGAAAAGGGTTCTCCAGATGGAACGTTCGTCCTGGTGGTCAAGAGTCCCACTGTCGTGCATTTCAAGCAGTCTTTCGCGAATCGTCGTGTTCGTGCGGGCCATCTGAACTGCCAGTGAGAGCAGCATGTCCGCAACAGTGGACTTTCCAGTGTGAAGATTTCTGAAGAAGAAGTAAGAGCAATCTTTGTTGGAATGCTCAAGGTAGTTCACCACATGAGCGGCAAGGGTTGATTTGCCTGTCGCCGGCTCGCCACTCAACCAGTAGAACCTCGAAAATCCATTTCCGTCTACAAGCCACTCTTGGAACGTATCTTTCTCGGTTAACCAGGCACAAGATCCTTGACTTTGATGTTCTATGATGTTTGCGACGTCTGTCTCCGGGCTTTCCTTTACTCCGAGCCACGCTGTCAGCTTCTCAACATCATCGTTGCGCCGCTGGTAACGAGGTGCTAGGCATGTCTTTTCTATCAACGATATGCTCGCCACGAATGCGTCCCTCAGCCGCGTGTAGTTGCTGTCGTTCGGCGTGTCGAATTTACACATTTGGGAATGGTCGGCGTTGAGATGGGAAATCTGCTCCCCCGGCAGGTCGAGAACGGCGGATGTCTTTTCAACAATGAGACCCAAAGCTGTGGGCATGGTCTCGAAAAAGGAGTAGAGATTTATGCCTTGAAACACGTGTCTAAACTGATCATTGATGGCAGTTATTGCCTCGGAGTCGGGATACAGGTTATCGACGTAGGATTTGGGACCGTGGCCGATGGCGAGTTTGAGAAGGTTGTTGAGTGTATTTGCCAGGTTTGACCCACGATGAGGAGTTGCGAGGAAGAAGAGAGTGTGTATGCGGGCAGCAATATTCGATGCTGCGGGGTCCTGCTTCGCGAGCAGCAGCATCTTCTTGATGACGAGACCACCCATACTGTGTCCCACAAGAACAATTGGCGTGTCGCTGTGGCACAGAAGAGGAGAGTTCCTGACATCAGATAGGAGCGCCTGGCCAAAGTCATGTATGGTTAACATGCTGGCATGTCTCTCTTTCCATACTGCACTATAGCCAAACGAATGTATGCGAACGTTCTTGAATCGGGGCTCCGTAGGTGGCCATTCCTTGGGCCAATAATGGGCTGAATTCGATGTCTTGCTCCATGTCTTCCTTGAGCCACCGCCCAAACCGTGTACGAAAATGAAATCGATTAATGGTTCTGAAGGCTCATGAAGTAGTGTCAATCCTAGAGGACCCCAGGAATCTTCATCCGTCGGTTGCTCCTCAACATCAGTTAGACTCAGGCTCTGGATACGACGGATGAGAGTCGTCTTCGTGGTTCCCAGCAAGGACCTTCGCGAAGCACGACTCGGAGACTCCACAACAGGTTGACGAGACTATAATTTTCGGCGTTAGTATTCGAGAGATATTTCTTACTGGTTTAGAGAGTAGGTGTAAAAGGAGTGGGCTGGTGGCGGACCATCTCGTATAATCTCAAAACCTCCAAAGCACCGACGATAACGTCAATTTCTACTCAAGACCGCCCGGGCGGTAAAGACTTTCGCTCAGGGTCCGTTCAGCGTTGTAACATGATGTCTCGTTTCTTTAGATTCTCGAAAACCAGGCCAAACAGTGCACGACAGTCTTGAGATCCGCGGCGTAGGCAAGAGTAGGCGTGTCTTGAACAGTCGCTTGCCAAAGCCTTAGATGTGGCCGGGACATTGTAGACGGTCGATTCCAACCAGGAAAGCGGGACAAGTTGTGACTGTCTGGTCAGCTTTCAGGCCGAGGTGGTTCGAAACCCCTCACTTAATCAATCTTTCACCTTTTGGGCCTAGCAAATTGCTACATTCAGCAGGATATCGGATGATTATGCCGCACTGCGGCACAGCACAGTCACGCAACGCGCCTGCGGGCTCGCGGGAGACTTCAACGCAGTAAGGAATGTATAATACCGGTAATAATCTTATCCATAGTCGTTCTTCTGCCAGTGTATTTCAATACTCTTCACCATCGACGATTCTGATGGTACTTACAACCGGCAATGAACACTACAATGCCAATGCATGGGAAGCTGTAGAGCGGCGGACTGTATAACTTTGGCAATTCACGGTAGTAGCAGAGATAAGGAAATCTGCATGTTTGCTGTCGGATAGTCTGGGCATCCCTGACCCTTCAGGTGGCTGGGTGCTGCTGCAGGGGCGTATTTAGGCGCTGGGTTTGAACCTTCTTGCACATCAGATGCATTACTTCTTGTCCACCCCCCAGGCGCATTGATTTCCTAGCACCTGTCAACAACGAAACACCATACTTTCTGCTCGAAAGGAAAATGTCCACAGGGTCAGATCGCACTGGCAGCGCCACTGCGTCAGAGACTTCGGACTATGATGGTAAACTTGACGAAGGAGTGCTTTCAGGTGCGAAACGATACCACTTGAGCGTTGTTCCGAAGCTGATATCGTGCAGCGCTTCCCCATAACAGCAGAGTCTTGTCTGTTACTCCGTCAGGAGCCAGTGCATGGGGTGAGACCATGCGTATAGAATGCGAGTTGGAAGACGGCACCTTGAAAGACTTCTTTATGAAGGCATGCGTCCGTCATAAAGCCTGGAGCCTGTCAATTGACCCTTATTAACGAGAATTAAACAGTGTGCTACTGGCGGAACCAATCGCCGTATGATGGAAGGTAGTTTCGAGTCCGAGGCGATCTTTCACCACTACGCCCCCGAGAACATCCCCGAGCCTATCGCCTTCGGTCACTACGAATCAAGCCCCGACACATGGCAAGAACGGCCCCCTTTTTCCCCAAATCTAGTTTTTTCTGTTTCCGACATCTCAAATATATCTAAATAGCACTGCAGTGGGCTGATGCTGAAAGCTAGGTTCTTCCTTGCCCAATTCTTTGACATGGTCGACGAAGTCCCGGAACCAGGCCAGTTCATTCCCCTAATTGTGAAAATCCACATGCGTAGCATGGGAGAGTCACCCGACGGCAAGTATGGTTTCCATGTGCCCACACATTTGGCCAACCTTCCCAATGATAATAGCTGGCAAACTACGTGGGAGGCCTTTTTCACCCAACTGATGAGAAAGATGTTTGAGCTCGAGGAGCTATCTCATGGCAAAGATGAGAGACTTGATTTCCTGAAAACTTCTCTGTGCACCAAAGTCATTCCACGACTGTTGCGGCCTTTGGAAACCGACGGTCGATCTATTCAACCATGCCTTGTGCACTCTAACATTTGGCCTGGAAACATGATGCTGGATGTGGAGACAAGTGATGTCATTCTGTTTGACTCCTGCGCATTCTGGGGTCACAATGAGGCTGACCTGGGGACCTGGCGGGCCCCGAGATACAAATTGGGTCGACCATACTTCGAGGAGTACCAACGTGCTATACAGATTTCAGAGCCTCAAGAGGACTGGGATGACAGGAACGCTCTATACGCGATGTAAGTCTCAATGACTTCTGCCATGTGGCTTCCACTTGATGAAAGGCTGAGGCATTCATAACCTGATTAACCGATCATGCAAAGACGTTACGATCTCCTGGTGTCAGCCCTTTTCCCAGATGAGAGCGGCCTAAAATTCAGGGAAATGTACGTTGGCACACTTCCACTTTCACAAGATTATAAGCTATCTGACACACGTTTCCAGGGCAATGCTTGAGATGGAGAGGCTCGTTCAGAAATATCCACTAGGTTATGAGGGCTGGAAAAGCTCCGCTGTTTTGTGAACGTCATGTAGAAAACACATGGTAGTTGCGCTTTCCGTTGCCAGTTGAAGCCTGGAATTGGCAAATCGTCGTGATGCTAGAAATCGAGTTTGCGAGGGATTTCAAGCACCGGTTGTCTGAGACTGTACCTATGAAGATATCAATCTACATTCATGACAAATTGCGCACAGGCCACCGCTTGTTTGCCAGGGGCGGGGGTAAATCCCAAGAAAAAATCGGCACAAAGATACCAACCAGATCCTCCACTCCATAACAAACACATGAAGAAAACCTCAACACATTGTCACACACATCTCTACGATATTCCAGCCAAACGCTGCCGAGACCCAGTTTCCCTGAGTACTTGATCAACCATGAACAAGAAACAGCCCATATTTCTGACCGCCAACCAAATCATACGACTATACCGCACTCGCATCATCGCGTCCATGCCCTCACAGCATGCCCTTCTCGAGTCGGCCGTCGCGTCTCCCATCAACCAGCATCACTACACCCGCACAGACGATGTATTCTATCTAGCCGCGGTACTGGCGCAAAAGGTCATGCTCAATCATTCCTTCTCAGACGGCAACAAACGCACAAGTGTCGCCGCGGCCGACATGTTCCTCAGGCTGAACGGCTACTATTTGACAGCAGGGGGCGATGGAATTGACCTTCCAAAGGACGGCTGCAGAGGAGGCAGATTTACTCAGGGCAGTCATCCTCGGTCGTCCCTGGCAGATGCGCACGTTGCCGTGGCGAGCGGACAATGGAGCGAGGACGAGCTTGCGAGGTTTTTCAAGGAGGTTGCGCAGCCCCTGAAATGAAGACACATGCACAGAACGGGACTCGGGTGATCTTGAGCCAAGCATCACGAAGCCTGCTGCTGCTACTCAGAGCCGAGATGCTTGGATCTGGTTGCTTTTGGGCAACCGGCCATTCCCAGACACTGCCAGATTCAAAAGGTCTGGAATGGGCTCGCTTCGTAAAGTATTTGTGTGCGGGAAGATTCCAGGGCACCAAGGGCCCATAATGATTCCTGAGGAGGATTTCCACGTTTGTTACCACGTCGTTGTTGGGCGTTGGACGAAGAGACAAGAACAAGACGAGAAGAGGCAAACAGAGAGCCGGATGATGCTCAGACTGCCAAGGTACATCGTCAAGTTACAATGAGCCCGTCCATCCAGCTACGAGTGCTGGCCCAGAGTTTCGCCAAAGCACCACTCGTGCGGCCAGCACTGAGCGAAACCAACCTGAAGAATTTGTGGGGCGGGGAAAAAAAGAAAGGGGCTGGGGTTCTCAGTTGGTGTTGAAAAACCAAAAACACCTACTCAGCGGTGCCCGCCAACCACAACAAGACAGTGAGAATCTCCTCCAACTCATCGAATCAGATCGTTTTTGATTGTTGGAAAAGGATGTTGTCACCGTCCCTGGTCAGGCCCGCAAAGCACGTGGTCCGACGCGTCGGGTCAAACCTGCTCGGCGGAGTGAGACAGCAACCGCTCTGGCGACGGGATCTCATGACAATTCACAAGAGAACGGAAATTCGCGCACCCAGAATCGGAAGGCGCGCACCCTCCCTACTATTCAGCCAATCAGAGCACAGAACCTCAAAGTCCTCACGACTTCAACAAATAAGTGTTCTTCGCGATTTTAGAGGCCACAAACAGGGCGGGTTGGTCCTCTGGGAACTCGGGTCGTGCCTACCGGCCCTACTCACGACCCTCCGCTATGCTTCGCGCTCCGGGGCTCGCCCCCTTCGCCCCAGCCGGCCCTTTCGTGGAAGAAGAAGTCTGTATAGAGTACTTCTTAGTCAGCAGATGGGTGCGCGCCTTCCGATTGAGGGTGCGCGAATTTCCGTTCTCATTCACAATACTAAAGGCAACTTGGTCACGATTGATAATTTGGGGGCAACGGTTAGCCAGGAGGTCATCATCTCCCGTGGAGGCGAGGATGAATCTTTCGTAATGGCGGAGCGGGAGGTTGGATTAGCCATGAAATCGTCCATCGTGCGGCAACTTGGTGTCTCGCTGACCAGCGACCCTGAGGCGATCCCGCTCAAATTTCACCACAAATCTCTGCATTTCGCGCACGGTATGTCTCCAGCGGGGGAAAAATGTCATCAAGTAAGCCATATTTGCTAACACGGATAGAATCGCTACCATATCCACGCCTAATTATTGATAAAGAACTCGCTGGACCGGATTCAAGTGGTGTCAGCGCAGCTACCTTGTGGCTCTACGGGCCTGCTGCGTGCGAGTTTACGTTGGACGGCACTCCTGACCGTAAGTGAATTAACACCAGTCATCTGCTATGAGTTTTACGAAGCTAAGAATGACCCAGATGATTTCGCCAAGTCCTCCCGAGAGAGTCACCAACGACTGAAGGGTGTCCTAGAAGAGTTAAAAGATAGATAGCTGAAGGGAGAACTCCCTTTAGAATTGAAAGCTGAGAAGTTTTCGTATTATGTATTCGAGCCTTGGCACCCATGATGAATCTGGTGGACGGTTCCCTATGTCCTCGCCCTACTACCCTCGCCACTTTAAACGCCTCTACCATTGTGGCTTTAGACTCACGTAGGCCGATAGCAATATTAGTAGCATATCCCAAGATAGTTGCAGACCGCTGCTATAGTTGCCCATTCAAGGAGATCAGATAGCAGTTGTGGTCAATCTTTAGACCCATGGTCCTCATAAGACTGCTCTCCTTTTTTCAATCACGTCAAATCCCCCCTTGCCAGACCCAATGAAAGCCGTTATTCGCTCCCTATGGGACGCATACCGCACCCCCGGTCGGCCGACTAACTAAATAGAGCCCCGCTGCGTCAGGGTCTACATTGCCCGGCACCCCTTCTCCAGTATTGAAGGAGGTCGCAAGCTGACCAACGCCGATCTAACGCCGTTCTAACGCCGCGAGGAAGCGGAGAAGGCGCAAGGAATTGTCTATCAAAAGGGACGGGGACTCTCAGCGGAGAGGAGGCAAGAAAGAGGAGCCAGCCTAAGTATATCTTAGTCCTTGAATTTCAATACTCCTATACGCTATGCTATTGCTATGTGCCCTTATCCGTTCTACTTGCAACCACTACCCTTATGACATGCATATAAAAAGGAAATACCGGTACAATGCTGCTAATAACCGTTTTCCTTACCGCTTACCTGCCTGAAAACATGGAAAATAACGCTTCAACCCCGTGTCCAGAGTCTTCATGCTGAGAGGCTTGACATGGTACTCCTGCGACCCCGCATCACGCGCGGCCGCGCGATCAGCAAGGCTATCCTGACCCGTCACGGTGAAGAGGACGCTCTGCCCCCAATTCCTCTCCTTCTCTAGCTGCCGGATTCGTTTCGTGGCTTCGATCCCATCGCACATTGGCATTTGAAGATCCATCAGAACGAGCTGGATCGGCGACACCTCTTTCTCAGCCGCCGCACATTCTTGACGGTTTTGGAACACCGATATGGCCTCCAGGCCGTCCCTCGCACATAGGTATGGCAGACTGCGCTTCTTGCAATACATCTGCATGACCTGCAGATTTAGGGCGTTGTCATCGACCAGCAGCGCAGTAGGATTGGAGGTGGTTGAGTGATCGGCAAATATGTCTGCCAGCTCAGACTTTTGATATTGATCAGAAAGGGTTTGGCCATCCTTGGCTATCGTGTCCGCGGAGCTCTGGGGTTCAGGAACAGCAGGGCTATCTTCCGCCGGCGGTGTAACTTGAAGTAATTGTCCTTTCCTTGAATGCAAAGGATCAACCGGGACCCCCTCCTCGGTCCGGTGGACCTGGAGTGGCTTCGGGCTGCTGGGCACACTCGCCGATTCGCATCCTGGAGACTTCGGGGTGCCGCTCGGGTCAACCATGAGACTGGCAGCTGCTTCCGATTCACCATTCGGTACGCCTTCAGGTTCGGTCTTGTCATTGCTCATGCAAGCGGTCGGCTTTGGAAGCACAACAAGATCTGTCGTGGCTCGAGGCTTAACCGCTTGATCGAACAGCGAGATGACCTTGTCGGCGCGCTCAAGTGCCGAGCTCAACGTTCGAGCACCAAAAGGTCCATGTACATAGACAACATTTGTATGTGTGGTATTATCGAAGCCAAGTTCTCCCTCCGAGAAAGGGACTGGACAGAGCACGACTCGATCTGACGGTAATTGCGAAATCATGGCGCGATGCTCTTCCGGGTCGGCTACAAACTCCAGAATTGCGAGGGCGTCCTCGAGATTTTCCGACGCAGTGAAGCCGTAGCAGGTAAGGGACTTGGCAAAGTGATCGCTCAAATTCGAGGCCTTCGAGCATGGAACAACATGGAAACGTAGAGGTATGTTCGCTGGTTGTGTCACCGCTGGCTCAGGCCGGAGAGGCGATTCTGAACATTCCAGTTCCACGTCTTGAAAAGTAGCTCTGAAGTGCGATCCATGATTGATCTCAGATGAGACCAGCTCGATCGAGCCCTGGAGCAATGCTGCGAATCTAGTTGCCAGCGTCAGACCCAAACCGGCACCAGTCGAATACACGTCGACCTGCTCGTAAAGCTCAAAAATCCGCTGATGGTCTTTGGCGGGAATGCCGTGACCTGTGTCCTTGATGTCCACGACAAGTTGTTTGGATTCTGGCTGGACTGATATGGAGATCTCGACCAGGCCCTTTGGGGTGTTTTGTATCGCATTCACGATGACAGGAAGCAGGCTGTCTCGCAACAGGCCAAGGTCCGTTCGGAGACTGCAGCGATCTGGTGGGAAATTGTGGTTGAAAAAGATAGAGGCGTTATAACGTGTGTCGCCTGAGATCACCTTCTGCACTTCGGCGGCCAGTTCAGCCTCGAGCTCATAGGTGGTATATGTTGCATACTGCCGTTCTGTTATGGCGACATCGGCCCACCTGTTGAGCGTTATCATGCTGTTTATGATTGATATTAGGTCTCGTCCAGCCGTCTTGATTGTGTCGAGGTACACTCCGTGGTCCACATCGGTCTTGGTGATCGCGTTCGTCTGGAGCAATTCCATAGTCGTCGAGACTGTGTCGCCCAATTTTCGTGCCTTGAGGTCTTCAGCCAACAGCTCCACGGAGCCCAAAATCCCATGCACTGGGGTTCGCAACTGGTGAGAAAAACCACGCAGGAATTTCTCCTTGGCGACCATGACCTCTCCCAAGAGCCGCTTGTGCCACATCTGGGATATAATGACCGCGCAAGTCTGTACGAACCACGCGTCGATATCGTCAAAGATCTGTTGAAAGTCCTTAGACCCAACGACGAGATAAGAATGTCCTGACACACTCTCACATGGTGCAGCAATGGCACGCACCACCCTGTCGGTAGGGAGCTCTCGGTGATTTGACTGGGCAATGAAGTCGTCGATGTATTCAGCATCCTCCCACACGTGGCTTGAAAACTCAGACAACGATACCGGGTCCCGACCCTTGAACTCCACATGGCCGGCCTTGCAGGTTTGCAGACTGATCACGGCGCCTGGATATGCAGTCTGCAGCATCCGCGTGATGGGCTCCTCGGAAACCGCGTCATCTGTCTCTTCCTGCGCTGCCGCTAGCATGTCGACCATCCGGCGTCTTTCTCTTTGGCGCCGCGCCCGTGTGAGTTGCACAATGTCGGAGACAATCCAGTCGGCCAGACGGGCTATGGTAGTTTGCTGCGCTCTTGTCAAGGGTTCGCGTGGTGTGGTAGAGGCTACGCAGATCGACCCGAGGCACACGGCGTCACCATCCTCGTTCTGCAGTCGGAGCGGGGCACCAGCATATGCAAGAAGACCACCGTACTCGACGTAAGGTGACTTCTCAAACCTCCAGTCTCGGCGCATGTCCGGCAGCAAGAAAACACTCTGGGAAAAGGGTCAGCAAACCTCCATCTGACGTGCCGAAAGGCTGATACCGTACCCCAAGAGGCTGGGCGACCATGTGCGCGCAAAGAGTCTCGCCCCGTGGCAGGATCCCGAGCGGTGTGCCGACCGTGGCAAGGCGTTTATAGAAGTTGACGTCCAGGACGCCGATGATGGCACAGTCCCACCCCGTAGACTCCTGGGCGATGCATACTTTCTCCTGCAGGCCCGAGAGGAACTCGAATTCCTTAAAGATGTCGCGCGTGTAGTACCAAAGCATAGACAGCCGGAGCCTCTCGTTCCTGGCTAAGGGAGCTCGAAGATAACAATCTGAGTAGCATTGTCTCTTTTCTGGGATTGTCGCTGGCGCATACGGTTCCGCCTTGGGAGGATAGAGGGCCTTTTGTTCATCTGGAGACCACGCCGGGCATGGGGAATCGGCGTTGCGTGGGTCGTAAATCGGTCCCACAACCTCCGGGTACGATGGCGGCGGAGCGAGTTTGTAGGACAGAACTGCAGCATCTGCTTTTGGAAAGAACATTGTTGGCTGTACAGGGACAGATCCTACTAACGTCTCAGGTAACCATATTGTAGCATGAGTGTGCACTGATCGTCGCGAGTGAGGAAATGAAGGAGGTGGGTGACAACACTCGAAGAGAAGGCGGCGCCTGGGACAAACAAGCCTGGAAGCCAAGAAGCCTAGGCCTACCAGTGGACCTTTTAGTCAATGCCGTGCGGATACTACTCCAAGAAGTTAGCGTCGCCGTTTCTCGGATGTTTTCCCCTTGCTAGCCCTGGAGTGAAAACGCTAAATCGAGATCGCGACCACTACCCCGGTACGAGAGCTTTCCCGGAGCTTAGGAGGACCAATCACACAACGGTAGACGGCATCGTCGGCATGATTGATCAGCTTGGCGGTAGAAAAATCCGTTCAGGTCCTTCATGCAAGTTTGGTGAACATAATAAACAGTAACGACATTTGACGCTTTGCCCGGCGTTCTTTGAGGTCCTCACCGCCCATAAACTTGAATGTTCATAAGTAGCAGCGTCGATAAACAGCAACATATGCGACCGCCGTACTTTGACTTCCCCGAGTCTCTAAGACAAGAATTCATTGTGACCTTGCCAAGGAAGGGAATCGTTCTGAAAAGGTGACTCTGGCGACGCTAGCAAGCTTCTGCATATATCTGCCATATGTCGTATTTTAACTATAGTTATTTACCTCATAGTTTTTTAAGCACTGGGTCTTGAGCGTTTACTACTGTATGAAGGCGCCATGTATGTCCTCGGACGTATACGGAATAGAAGCGAAACCAGTCTGCCCTATGGATGCGTCGTTTCCCTGGCTCATCAAGACCTTCAGCATCCTAATGAATTATACTGTACAAGCGTACCACGGCCTCATATTGGTATGTGAGTTTAATTAGGGGGTTACAAGGTCTCCGCTTGGGTGCCACCTCCCGTCGTCTCCGCTTCTGACGTAACGATCTGTATCAGGTGTTTTAGTTTGCCTTTGAGCACTCTGTCAGGGTTAAACTGACTGTGGTGTCGTTCTTAATCCCCATACATATAAAATATATGTGGCGCCTTCATACAATAGTAAACACTCAAGAACACTCAAGACCTAGTGTTTAAAAAAATTGTAGTACTAATAGTAATAGAAAGAGAATATAGTACGTCTATGGGCACGTGGCTTAGCCTCGTACCGCACAGACAGGCTAGAAGGCATCACTCCCAAATGGCGCCGCTCACTAGAAAGCCGGCAAAGCAGTCATACGGCAGGGTAAAATGAAGCTTGGAAATAGGTCTTTCGAAAACCATGTCTGTGAGATGTTCCTCTTATTGATGGCTTTCACCCTCACAGGGCGGTAGAGGGAATACAGGTACTCCTTAACAATATTGTATGAGCCTCCTCGGCTGAGCGTATCAACCGGTAACAAATTTGTATGGTTTTTAAACCCCGGGTCTTTGAGAATGTATTACTTTACGAAGGCGCCGTGAATGGCTTCGGACGAATGCGGGATAGAAGTGAACTGACTTTGGTCAGTATCCCTGGTGGACGGCTCGAAAGAGAGATTTTGGAAGGACTTGAGTATTGCATCGATCTGCGACGAGTTGGGCTGTCGAATACCGCTTGGTATTCGGCAAGCTTCATGCTACATTACAGTCACCGGCACGCTTCCACGCACGCCAGTACTTGCAACAACTTCATCAGGAGCCGATGCATACACTTTCCTTTGCAAAACGCTGGACTGAAGAACCCACCCACGAGAAGACCGCATCGACGGTCTTGGAAGACAGCCTATGACAGGTTAAGTTGACACGCCCCTTTGCAGCAAGATCGCTTTGTCTCCTGAAGTCTGCAATTTCTTGGGCACCGAGGCTCCGTACTCCGTTTTCGAGACGGCGCACCAATGGTTGGTGATCTCTTGGGCCGATGGAAAGCAGCCGATTCCTGCACAGACTCGAATCCAGTGGGTTTTGCAGGCGAATGGATATTCACGTCCACGGACAGCCTCGAAATTGCACTTATTCCATCATCGCGTTACAGAATATGCCGGTGGCAAAGACCAGCCCATATGCAGATGGCGGTACTTCTTCAACACTCCATGGTCTCGTCCAGCAATGACCTAGGCTGAGAGCACCTCCTGAAAGACACAACACGTTCATTTCCATGGCAGCATCTCTGATATATGCATGCGCTCAAGAGCTGAAGACTGAACACGAGCCCTCCGCGGACTCCAATACCGCTTATTACCTGAATCAGCGGCACTTGCTACATCATGCTCATTCATACATTAACTCTTGCACCCAAGCTCTAGGAACTAATATTAGAAACACCATACCAATGGGATGTGCTGTTCAGTTTTCGAATTTCATGATACATGAGTGGACTTGCAACCATGTTGCAGGTAACAGCGTTGGAGACGACGGAGACATTTCCGCATCGAGATGCTTATCTCTTGCTTTGTGGAAGCCAAAAAAAAAAAAGAGTTCGATGAATAGTTAGAGCAAAAGAATGCGCTCAGAAGTTGAGTAGATTGCACCCCCGACTGGGATCAATCGGTCAAGAACTCCGAACAGAAGCGGAACTGGCAACAATGGGAAAATTGAAAGACGTGTTAGCGCTACAATAAATTGTAGTGGAAGCAACTAGACACCTCGTCGGTGAGAGTTCTCCAGAGATATTATACAAATCATCCTATCTTAGGCAGACTAACCGCTAACTACCCTTAGTATAATTAGTATAATATAGTATATATAAGTAAGCCTAATGTATTATACTATACTAAAGGTACTTTAAACTTTAATATACTATATTAAAGATTTTAATATATATTATATAATAAGTTAAGGTGTAAATAGGATGGTAGGAGGGTAGGAGGGTAGGAGGGAGGAGGGAGGTTGTAAGAGGAGGGAAAAGGATGGAAATAGAATCTGACTGAGTAGCGACCATCTCGGGACAGCGTCTGCCATGCAGAATCTCGCAACAAGCTACCAAGGGATCGGGGCTTCACCAGGAAGCAAAAGAATCATTGTTCCAATGCGCTGGAAACACGCGGAACGGTACTGGGCAAATTTAACGAGAAGACAAGGAAGACAGCCAAAGGTCTGGCGGGCGTGAATGTCACCCAGGGATCAAGGGGCTTTGCCGGCTATGTACATGCTCATGGGTGATCTATGTGTTGAATCAGGAATTTCCATGGACTAGATATCAAGATTTAATTTAGATGCGAGTTACCTAGGCTTGTACCTTATAAGTTATAATGTGCAATTACAATCTGCAGCGTAGCAACCTATATTAACTAAGGTAACCAGCCCATATCCAAACCACCCCCCCATTCAGACCACCCAAATTCATCCTCCCACACTAACTACCCACCCCCTTCATCCTCCTCTAACACACTTAATTTACCCACTATAATATAACTATTTATTATTTTTAATACTTCTAAACTTACTTTATTTATTAACTTAACTTTAATTATTCTAACTATAATTTATACCTTTTATATATCCTTAATTTATATAAACCTTAAGTTAAAATTTATTTTAACCTTCTATTTTTTAATAAATATTAATTTTATTAACTTTATTTTAAATAACTTAACTTTTTATAACACTATATTTAACTATTAATCTTTTTTATTATATACTTTTTAACTTTTAAAAAGTAATTACTAAATTATAATTAAATATATATTAAAATAAAAATATTATATAAAAATTATACCTTTTATAAATATTTAAATATTAATAACACTACTTTCTTTATAATAATTAATACTAAAATAACTAATTTAACCCTTCTTTCTTATAGAAAAATTAAATTTAATATTTTTACCTCCTTTTAATCTCCTTAAAGAATTAAATATTAAAAATAGTTTAACTATATTTATTAATTATAATCTATTTACTTACTACTTATTAATAATATTTAACTTCTTAAAAACCTTTATATACCTTATATAATAATAATAAAAAAACTTACTTATTATTTATTATATTATTAATATAAAAATTAAAAATTAACTTTAAATTTATATACTATTTTAAATAATATAAATATATTTAAATTAAATAGTTATAATATATAAAAATATATAATAATAAATAAAATATATATACTTTATTTAAAAGTACTTTATATAAACTTAAATATATAATAACTTTTATATTTATTAATAACTAATAATTACTATTCTTTTTATTAATTAACTTAATCTATAAAATAAAAATCTTTTAAAATTATTTAAATACTATAATATTATTAATCTAACTATTATTTATAACTATAAATTCCTAATTTTTATAACTTTTAAATATCTTAAATTATTATTATTATATACTCTTCCTTTTAAATATTATTAATAAAAATAAACTTTATTTATAATAAAAATATACTCTATAAAAAAGTTTATACTCTTTCTTTATTACTTTTTTATATTATAAACTTCCTTACTTTAAACTTTAAAATAATATTATTAAATTTAATACCTTTAATAATACCCTTTTATTAATATTATAATAATTTTCTAACTTAATATTAAATATAATAAAACTAAAAAAATTAAATTAAAATTTAATTATCTCTATCTTAACTTTATTAACCTTTATATAATATATTTAATAACTTTTATAATTTAAAATATTTAAATTTTTATTAAAAGCCTTTAAATTACTTCTTATTAAAAGGTAATAATTATAATTAAAAGTTAGTTAATTAAATAATAAATATCTATATTTTAAAATAAATTAATAATATTTTTAAAATAAATTAATTAAATATAAACTTTATTAAATTAATCTCCTAAATAATTAATAACTTTATTTATAAATTTATTATATTAAAATAACTTTAAATATCTTTTAATTATTAAAAAAAATAATTTTTAAAATACCTTAATATTAATATACCTTTTAAATTTTAATACTATTAATAATCTCTTTAAAGACTATTTATATATTATTTTTTATATATATCTTTATTAATAAATAGTTATAATAATTATAAAGTTTAAAAAAAAGAAAAAAATCCCTTATAAAGTTAATATATTTTATATATAGGTATAGAGTAGTTATATATATAAATATAGGGTAGTCTGAATAGGGGGGTAGTCTAGATGTAGGCTAGTCACCTTATAAGCAGTACTTATAGGTTCTTCACTATGGGACCATATGGGTAAGCAGTGTAAATTCTTATATTATACTTGACAATGTCACAGAAAACGTGCATGTGGCGCAAGTTTGACCGGTCTTGTAAAAGTATGCCCTTTACTGCCATAGCAAGGATAGGATAGAACGTGGAGCCATGTTATTTACGTGGAGGTCATTGAGTGGTTTCAATGATTCAGAAGACCATGTTGGCGGCACGGACTCGGGGTGCTGACAGGGAGAGGAGGAGCACCCAGGGCAAGAGAAAAAAGCTGGGTGCCAAGTTCTGCAGCAAATGCTTGTGTGCTGCATGCGGCAGCTGAAGAGGGCGGGAGGCGAGCTGACGGGGTGACGGGGTGGCCCACTGGCGTGGTCAGCTGCGGCCTCCAATGTAGGTACGTGTCAGCTTGTGCAGCCGAGTGGCTGCAGGATCTGGAGTGGCGCTGAGGATATGTCCTATGCATGAGGATCAGCGTCATATTTATTTTGGGGATGTCTGAGATGCTTGAACGCTTTGAATGGTGAGAGAGCATATCGCGATTAGAGAAGTGCATCTTGACAAGGAGACGGGGTCACCCTCGGGAGTACCACAGTACATGTCTACTGTAGACTGTAGCATTTTCGGCCCGCCGGTCCCAGATGAGCTGGGCATGGGCAGGAAGGAGCTGGGCAGAGGTGACCTCATCACGGCCACAGCACAGCACCAGCCCCCGTCCATCCGTCGTCATCCCCCCACCCCTGTTTCGTTTCAACCCCAGGCCGGATCCCATCTCACCCATTCATTCATTCACCAACCATTCACCATGCACCACCCTCGCAGGATTCAAGATTGACCTCTGGTGGTAAAATAAGGTGTGGCTTGGGGTCACAGGTAAGTGAGAACCACAGGTAGGCAGGATGTTGTCATCATGAACATCATCATCATCAGCGTTTTTCCATTTCGTCGTTGGACCTCGTTGAACCTCGTCTTCTGGGGCCAACAACAACAAGCTTTCCCCGTACCCCGTACCTCCACGTCTGTCCCACGTCTGTCCGTCCGTCTCACTCTGATTGACCCGTCCCTGCTGCAGCCTGTCCTTCGCCACGGCCCGCCGCGAGACAGCCAGACCAGACCTGTCTCGGCAGGCGGCAGCTAAGGCAAAGCTTGCCTCCTCGACGACCTGACGGCCGCCCTCGTGGCAGGGACTGCCTTGTTGCATTGGGCTGGACCACCACCAAAACAGCTGGTGTTTCCAACCCCAAATCTCGCATTACCGTTGTTATCTCTTGCCGACTTTTGCTTTTTCTACCCTCCTTAACCCTCCTCCTATGCCAACTCGTGCATATTCCTGTTTCTTTCTTGTTCTAATCGTCAGCCATGTCGTGACCACCCTCCCGGGTCTTTCTCCTCCCCCCCACTCCGTCTCACAAGGCTGAGACATACCTCACCTTCTCATCCAGGATCCAGGACCGCGGGTCACCACCCCCACACCGCTTCTTTACTGTAGCACCTGGCCCTGACGACCCCCTCAAGTTACCCTGGATCCAAAAACCAACAATGCCTCGATACCGCTCCCCATCGCGGACCCCGTCACCGTCCCGCTCGCCCTCGAGGGGCAGGACAACCTCCAGGCCCCGCTCATCACGCTCCCGCAACAGGAGCAAGAGCACCTACTCAGACGGCGTGTACAGCACGACCTCGTACTCGTCCCGGTCGCGGTCGCGGTCGAGGTCGAGGTCCTACTCCCGCTCCCCCACGCGGTCCACCCGCTCCCGCCGCACAGATGTGACCTCGTCCTCGCGCCAGACAGGCACCACCAGGCGCGGGCCCCTCTCGCACATCCTCGACACCTCCGCCAGCACCCGCTCCGAGAAGGCCGAGAACATCGCCAAGACCTCCCTGGTCATGCTGGGCGCCATCGGCGCCGCCACCCTCGCCGCCCACAAGTTCTGGCCCAAGGGCGTCACCTACGGCGACAAGGAGGACTGGGAGTGCGAGGACAAGTCCAAGAGGGAAAAGGTCAAGGACAAGGTCAAGGATGTCAAGGCTGCTGTTACCGGTGAGCCGAGGCGGGATGAGCGTGGTGGGGGTGGAAGTGGCAGCGGCGATAGGGATGACGACAGGCGGGACGACAGGCGAGGTAGCGGTGGCAGGGGAGGGGGACGCGACAGGGACAACGACCGCGACCGCGACCGCGACCGCAGCCGAGAACGCAGAGAGCGCTACCTCGAGGAGCGAGAACGCTACGGCCGGCCCAACATAGCCAGGGACGGCGTCGCCGCAGGCCGCCTGGTCCTGCCCGCAGCAGCAGCAGGCGCAAGGGCGGCGGCGGCGGCGCACCAGGACGACCGGGACCGGAGGAGCAGGAGAAGGGACGAAGACGACAACAACAGGCCACCACCGCCACCCCCTCCACCAGGACCTGGCCCTCGAGACCGCGACAGAGACCGCTACAACGACTACGACCCGCGCGAGTGGCGCGACCGCTACGCCGAGGGCGTCCCACCCCCACCACCACCTCCACCGCCCGGTCCACAGGGCACAACATACCCAGCGACCCAGCGGCGCGTCGAGCGCGCCTCCGCCGCCGCCGCGGCTGAACAGCGCCCACCACCCCCTCCGGCGGCGCCGAACCCGCCCTCCGTGGCAGCCAGCTACTCGCGGGCCGACGCCGCGCCCGCGCCCGTGGTCATCTCGACGGGGGGCAGCCGGGACCGGGACGGCATCAGGATGGCCGGCCCCCCGCCGACGGGGCGGTACTATGTCGACCGGGACACGATTGTGATCCCCTCGCGGGGCGAGACCGAGTTCATCGTGAACCGGTCCGGGCCCCCCGGGGCGAGGCTTACTACCGTTGAGAGGGAGGGGCGCATCTATCGGGTTTGATTGTGTGTGTGTGTGTGTGTGTGTGTACACGGTCCGTCTGTCTGGCTGTTCGGCCGTGTTGCTGTTTGGTTACTCTGGCCTGGCCTATCCCAGCCTGTGGGGGATGGATGGACTTACCTACTTACTACTAGCCTTTGTATTCTCGGGGTTATCTTGCTGGGTGGGCATCATGAGAATGAGAGTATACGACTGAATGAATTTATGGGATGAGGATAAACCTGCACGTGGACATGTGCAAACCTAAGGTACGGACGGCAAAGCGGCTCTACGTTTGTTGTTGGTTGAATTTGTAACTTCAGGGGGCTTAAGCGTGTCGGCGTTACAAGGCAGGCAAGAATAAATAAAAACCATCACATGGGGGCGGCCTTTTGATCTTCATCCTTCTTGAAAAATTCTTGGATTCTGATTGTAAACAGCCAAATGTGTATATGTGTGCACCTGAATCTACCAAAATCCCAAAGTATGTATGCCTTGTGCGTGACCGTGATGCAAATGGCATCCCTCCATGCTGCTGTGCGTGGCCAAATCAATAGCAATGCCGTAGACGCACGCCCCCTCGGAGGCATCTGGGACAGCGCAGTCAGTCAGTCCAGCAAACCCGCCTCGCACAAGTCCATGCTGGTGGGTCATGGTCAGCCCTGGCCTTCCGATTCCGAGACCACGCTTCTCGCATGTGCAACGTGGCTGGCGGACGTGACAAAGAGTTAGGCAGGTCAAGGCCGAACGTATGTGCCTTTGATGTCGTCCACTCCCACTGCTCCTGTGTTCCATCCGCCCCTGCGCCTCCGTGCCAGGTCCAAAACCACGACGTCCGTCTAACCCGTATCGATCTCACCGCTCAAACTAGGGAGTCCCCATCGAATCAGAGCCGCCGCCCGGGCTCCCCCCGAGCTCATCACCCGACTCACCATCGTCAGCGACGACCTTCCGCGCCCGGTCCTTGGCACGGCCGGCCGCGGGCTCACCACCGTCGCCCCCGGCCCCAGCCCCCTCCGCCACGACATCCCTCACAGCATCCGCCCAGCCCCCGCCCGCCGTCCGCATCACGAGCACCCTGTTCAGGTCGGCCTTGAACCACCGGTCCGGGCGCGTGTGCGTCCTGGAGCCGCCCTCGAGCGCCGCGTGCGAGGCCCGCGTGTTGCGCATCCGCCGCTTGGTGCCGCCGCCGCCGCCGCCCTTGCTCAGGAGGTTGCTCATCCTGAGCCGCTGCCTCTGGAGCTCGTCGTCGTACGCCACGATCCCCCGCACGTACGGCGCCACGTCCTCCACGATGGGCGCCAGGGTGTGGTCGAAGACCGAGGCCTCGAGCGAGGAGGATGACGACGACGAGGCGCTGGTCTTTTCGGACGCGGCGAGGGGGTCGAACGCGAGGTTCAGGTCGTCGCGCGTGAGGCCTCCTGTGCTGGGGGGCTGGGACATGTGCAGGCGGATCTTGGGGGTCAGCGCGGCCTCGTCGGGGGCCTGGAGCCGAGGGGACGGGTAGCTCGCTTCCAGGTCTCTGCGCGCCAGGGTCTTCAGGCTTATCGGCAGCGTGGTTGCGAGGGGGTCATATGTTGACGTGACGGGGGCGTCGAGGAGCTCGCGGCCGAGTATGTAATCCTCGCGGCTCTTCGCCGTGATTTCTGGCATCGTGCAGTCGATCCCTTCATGATGTGATTCCGCGTGGATCATGGCGGACGAGCAGAGGTCTGCCACGCCCATCGCGTCGGCAAATTCATCGTACTTTGTGAGTGCGGCCAGTCGTGTTCCGCGATCTGATGCTTCCAGCTGTGAGGCCCACGATGGCATGTCCAGTGTGTCTTGCCAATCACCCACGTCCATCTGCCAATTGTTCCACGCTTCCTGCAGCAGCTCATCCTCGAGCCATGCCATGTCGCCCTGCTCCTCGGCCAGGACGTCATGTGCGAGCCAACCCATCCCCTCAAGATACGTATCCTGGCTGACAACCCGAATCACGTTCCCTTGCTCGTCAATGTCACAGCCTTTCGGGTAGCGTGGGTAGTACCAATCAACTCCACTGCGTCGGTCACCCACAGCTATCTGACACCAATAGTTCAGTTCTGCCAAGCAAGCACGCAGGTCCCGCTGGCGGGCCTCGAACAAGGCCGAGACTGCGTTCCGGCGAAGGGCGTGACCTTCGCAGGCGGCTATCATGAGCAGCCGGTCGACAGCAAGGTCCGTGGGCGGTTCGCTGAAGCGGAAGATTCCGTGCAGACTCAGAGTCTGGAATGGTACGAGCTTTTCATCGTTGCAGGTCAGAATGAACGGCCGCTTCGACTGTGCTATCAGTCCAATCACAGTGCTCCAGAAGTTCTTGTCCTCCTCGTATAGAACGTCGATCTCATCCAAGAGGATCAGTGACTGCTTCTGGTTCTTGGGGGCTGACTTCTTGACCTCTGTCTTCTCTGCGTCGCCCTTGGGAGCGGGCTTCTTGGTCTTGGAGGGTTGTTTAGGCGTCGGCTTTGGTTTGAAGAATGAGGCCATCGTCGCCTGCTTCCCAGACTTGATGTCCTCAGCAACTTCTTCATCGTTTATAGCGGATGCTGCAGCTTCGGTCTGTTGATGCTGGACCAGATGGTTGCGTGTCATGTCTCCGATCTTGTCGAAGACGTCTTTGCCACTCCTGCGACTGCCCGGGTTGATTTCGAAGACCTCAAAGTCCAGCTCCTTTGCGATCGCATACACTGCTGCAGTTTTCCCACAACCGTGGGGACCGCTGATGACGACCGTGTTTGTTAGGCGCTGGGCGCCTTTGGAGTCTTTGGCGTGGGTGTCACCAGCCCGAATAACCGTTCTTTTCCCCCCACGTCTGTCGGGTGACCAGTCCTCTTCTTCGGGATCGGAGACCTCGTCCATTTCGTCTGCCTCCTCGTCACTGTCAACGATGAAGTCGTCGGTCTTGTTCTTCTTGCGCTTCTTCTTTGGTGGTGCGCCTTTCGTCGCCTTTGGTCTCGGTTCCCCGGTGTCGACCGATTGGACTTTGAGTGCCTGCAACCAGTCTCGCAGAAGGAAAACTTCTTTTCCATGTTGCAAAACTTCAACCGCGGCCTTGGGTGCATACTTTTGCGCCCAACTTATTGGCTCGCACTGGTACCTGTCGAAGGCTGAAAGGGAAGTGGCGAGCGATGTGCGAAGGCTTGCCAGGGCATCGTGTTTGGCGTTCTTCAACTCGGGCAGAATCCGCTTCTGCAGGTTAAGCCCGCTTTCAAAGTGCTTCTGCGGGAGTCGAAGTTCGCGTGGCGGTGGGAGGAAGCTTTCTGTGTCGATGTTCTTGACAGCATCGAGGAGTTCGGGAATGTTGAGCTTGGTTGCGAAATTCCCTAGGACCTCTTCGTGTGGAGGGATATGGATGGTGTTGCCCTTCGATTTCCGAGGTAGTAATGGGATTGACGAAGCGGCCTCGTCCTGGCGGCTAGACACGACATCATCTCCTCTAACGTGAAGCATGCCCTTCCAAGGCCAGGCTGGCGCGCGGGCTCCCGGGGTCTTCAGACCCAGGGACTTGACACCAAATTGAGGCATCGGCTTGCTTGATCCTACAGCACGCTGCTTTTTCGGGGAGCAGGGCGTGGAACTGAAGATCCTTGGGCGCTTTGGTGAGGGCGGTGGTTTCGATTTTGTCTCGGTCTCGGCTGTCGTTTCTGATTGGGATGTCGCTGTGGCCTTTTGGGGCTTGCCTGAGAAGAACGGGTGGGTGTCTTTCTGGGGCGCCTCGCTCTTCGCCTTCGCAGTTGTCTGCTGTTCTCGTTTCGTTGATCGCTTCTTCAGCTTTGAGGGAGGAGAGACAGCAGTACTCAGAATCCCGTCAATCTTGGTGCCGATCCGGTTCCTAGACTCGTCATCGGTCCCGTAGCTGACTTTCACAAGCCTGGCTGAGCGTCTCTTGCCCTTTGGTGTTGGGGTAGCCTTCTCTCGAACAGGTACCTCGTTGTGTCCCTGCTGCATGCCAAGTTGTGGCTCCTTTGGCTTTGGCGGTGACCCAAGTGTGCCAGTGTTGGGGTTGAATCGCAGGACTTTCTTTGGTGGGACACTGGGCTCTCTTCTCTCGCATGCTTGATCTGCGATCGCCTGTACCGTGGTGTCTTCGTTATCGGCACTTGAAAGGGGCTCGGTTGGTCGCTGGACCGCGTCTTCGTTGGGAGTCGTGTCGTCGGGTGAGCGGGTCTCGTGGGGCGTGGTCGCAAGGTCCTCGCCTTCTCTTTGAATGAAGTGGTTCATGATCGAAACCGCCTGAGGGTTGTTCTTCTTCCTGCCACGTCGGGGCTTCTTGTTGTCCGCCACATCCTGCTCGACGTCCTCTGCTGGCTTGCGACGTTTCCGTTGACGAGCGGTGCTCTCTGGTGATTCCATGTCGCTGTCCTTGGCGAGAGTCTCTTTCGAGTCTGCAGAATCGACCGAATGGGAGGCAGCAGGGGTTGGATCTGGGTCTGTGGTAATGGCATCTTGCTGAAGAGCCCTGGGCCTGGGCGCGGTAAAGAAGGGGTGGAGCTTTTTGGGCTCTGCGGCAAGTGTGCTGCCTGACATGGCTTCGACAATGACAGAGCCCATCTAACCGGTGGATTTGAAGTGGCGGCCTTGGACTGTCAGAATCAAGCCAGTCCAAGCAGGGCGATTGGTACCAAGGCGCACCAAGTTGTGCTGCAACATGGCATGCGCTCAGGATGAGCAGCAAATCGCGGGCATGCTGGGGGCGAATTGATGACGGGACGAAGAGATCAGGATGCACTCAAAAGTGCAGATCAACTTGGGTGAAAACAATGAATAGCCTTGGTTCGGTGTGGGCATGTGAGACAAAATGCGAGAACCCAAGGAAAGCCGCTCCAAATCATGGGTCTTGAAGGAGAGAGAAAGGCCTCGGTTTCCAGAGAGGCGCGTCCAGAAAGCGCGTCTCGTTGAATGAGCGCAGCGCGACTTCCATGTGCATATGACGCCCTGTCCAATTTCAGTCCAATCACAAGCTGCTGACACAACAGCTGCCCCACCTCCTGCCGGCAACAGCTCGGGACCCCTATCCCTGCTCAAGTGCCGTAGGTCTTGGGCTGATATTTCCAAGGCTGCTGTCACTAAGCTTTAAGTTAGAAAAGAAATAAGTAATTAAATAAAAAGATAGTAATATAATATAAAAGAAAAAAGTGGTATAATTGAAGCTATAATTAATTTATACTAGTGTATAGTACTAATGTAGGAAGGCCTTATGTAGTGACTAGTTTTAGATGAGGATAGTTGACTACTGAGTAGTTACCTGGCTGGAGAAGTGGGTGGTTTCGTTTTTTATCCCCATGTATGTGGCGCCTTCATATAGTGGTAAACGCTCAAGACCCAGCATTTTTTTTAAAAAAAATGCAGATACAGTGCCAATGACAATGGCAAGAGAATACAGTACTGGCTGAAGAAAAAGTCGTTGGTGCTAGTCATAAAACCGTACCTAACCACTGTGGGGCCGACTCCCTGCCGTAGGATCATCATTTAGCAACCAACAGTCATGTGAATTCTTGGTTTAAAAACAGATAGCCGCCCTTGTGGAGCATTTTAAGTCTCATCGACGCAGGATTGCGGCGTTTCTTTACAAATACGATATAACATTGCATTATCATTGAGTTTTCGCCGCTTTCCGATCCTTCTGAATGCAAGTCGAGTCAAGTTCGAATGGACTGTGTAACTACCGCTCCAGGCTGTGCTCCATAGACCCGCTGTCTTCGACAACCGCGCCGCTATCAGTTGTACTCGCTTTTTTTGTGTTCGTTTTCCTTTTGGATCTGAATCCTTCCGGCCACGAGAACATATTTTCCCAGAAAGACCATCGTCTCCCATCATTCTTATACTGGGGTTTCAACCGTGACCCCTTAGTTTACGATATTGTGTACGGCCTCGCAACCAGCAAACTTTGGAGCTCGCACACCTTCTACATCTCTGTCTCGTCATCATGGGGTTTCTATTTGGTCTTTTGCCCTACGTCTCCTCTTTCTTATTGGCTGTTCCACTTCTGACCTGGCTCGTTACCTGGAATCGATTTCGAAAGGACAATGACGCGGTACAATATGATGTCAAGAAGCACTGGCAGCAAAATAAACCTCCTCCAACTATTCCCTACAGCACACCCTGGCTAGGGGATGCAATTGTGGCACTTCTAGACCTGCAGAAATATGTGTCGAGTGTCTTGTAAGTTCAAATATTCCTCGCACCAACGTGGGAAACCTTTCACAGAGACGCGCAGGCTGACTTCCCATTGCCCCAGCTCTCGCTATGGCTGGCGCCAACCCCTACGTGCCAAATTTGGGCCCAAATTTGTGACCCTTGTGAGCAACCCCGAGCACATAACGGCCGTCTTTAAGGCAGCGAAAGTAGCTGGCGCGAAGCCGGCTTCATCCATGGCACTGCGCAGGGTCTTTGGCAGCTCTGCCACGACTGCCAAGTATTGGGATGACGACAACTCTGGCATCGCCGTTCAACCGCGGAAGGACAGCAACGTGAAGCCGGAGAATCGAGTGCATTTCTGGACGGCTCATACAGCACAGACATATCTGTCAGCCCCCCATCTCCAAGCGCTGAATGAGCGCTTCGTTGCGACTGTTAGAGAGAGGCTCGATACAATGGGTATCCAAGAACAGTGGGTAGAGTATCCGGATTTATATAGCTTCGTCCAGTCAGTGGTAGGAGAGTCGGCTACGAAAACTCTGTTTGGACCACGCATACTCGAGCTGAACCCAGGTTTACTGGACGACTTTCGTGTCTTTGACAGGAACATGACCAAGTTCCTTTTTGGTCGCCCGAGCTGGCTTATGCCGGCTGCGTATCGAGCTCGGGATCGACTTCGAAATGCTGTCAAATTATGGCAATCTGAGGCCCACAAGAACGCTGGTGCAGAGGTCAACAAGCTGGATTCTAAAGATCCAGAATTCAGTACTCACTTCGGCGCTAAGCTTATGAAAGCAAGACAGGTGGCTATGATGAAAATGGACTTGGATGCTGATGATAGGGCGTCCCTTGATGTGGGCTTGATGTTTGCGTACGTATATCTATGGATCTTCTCAAATAGTTGTCTGAATTTCAGAATGCTAACCTTGAATCTTCAAATGTAGTATTAACTCGAACGTCCTAAGAGCGATCTTTTGGTTCATATTCCACGCCCTCCGTGATGGCCCCCTTCAAGCCCGGCTCCTCGCTGAAGCGCAACAATGCCAGCAAGCTAATGGGCTGTTTGACGTGACTGCGCTAGCTCAAAAACCCCGTCTTCAATCAGCATTCGCCGAGGTATGCCGTTATTATGTCGCCATCGCTATCTCGCGTACTGTCAATACACCTGGTCTCAACCTTGGAGAGTGGACCATCCCCGCTGGGCAGTCTCTCTCTGTCTTCGGGCGGGAGGCTGCATTCAATGATGAGGCATGGGAACTTGTCGGCCGTCCGCAGGAGAAGCCACTGGCGACCTTTGATGCCGAACGATTCCTCACCGCCCCGAGCGCCGACCCGGCGATTGGTACGGACGACGTTGAGTTCTCACTTGAAGGGCTTGCTGGATGCTGGCTGCCATTTGGAGGTGGCCAGCGAATGTGCCCCGGGCGACACTTTGCCAAAGTGGAGATGCTCGGTACATTTGCAATGGTTTTTACTAGGTTTGAGCTGGAACTGATGTCGCCCGAGAAAATGGATAACGTGAAGCCGGACATGAAGTGGTATCCTACGGGAACACTACCGCCGACGAACAAGGTTCCGTTTCGAATTCGCAAGAGGACCACGACATGAGTGGTTTCGCTTCTATTCTGTGTACGTCCGAGAGCATGCATGGCGCCTTCATACGGTGGTAAGCGCTCAAGACCCAGCGTTTGCAAAATAAAAAAAAGGAAAGAAAAAGAAAACAAAGAAAATGCAGTGCCAATAACAGTACAGACACAATACAGTATGTGGGCATGTAGCCTCAGCCTCGCGCCGCAGAGACACATAGTGAATAGTAATACATCCTCTCACTTTGATTCAATTACCCGAAAGGTTCTCGTGCTGGTCTAGGCGGTATTACAATTAGATGTGTTCGGTCGGGCAAGTCTCTCCAGCAGGCAGCGTCGATCGATCCATCTCGACACTATACCGTGCGAATGGACTCGCAAGTCTCAAACTCTTGCTGTATCGGAAAAACACCCATGGAGCAACACAGAACAGAATTGATACACCTGCCAATATGGACCCAGCACTATTCGCGCTCAGTTTACCGTACATTGGCTGCGCTAGGAGCGTCATAAGGCCAGAAATAATGGCCCTGACAAAGGCTAGGCCAGAGAAGGCGGAGGCGCTGTAGAGCAGATACGAGTCGGCAAGGAAACCGCTGAGGGTGTAGGCAATCTCGTTGACGGCGAAGCCGATGGGCACCAGTGCGAGCGTGGGCGCGATCCACGGTAAGCCCGGCACTGCTGGCGGGACCGTCCAGGCGAACCAGAAGAGCCCGATGGTCAGTGCTGGGGCGGCGAAGGCGAAGCCCATGATTTTGTCTTCTCTGAGTAGAGTTAGATGGTAATTGTCTGTGGAGCTTGATGGCATTGACTTACGGCTCGACGGGCTCCTTCGCTACATGACGACGAGATACGACCTTCATGTCCCAGAGGCGTGGGAAGAATGTCAAGCACACCCCAAACGCAAGTGCCAGAAACGGCAATGAAGCGGTTGTCTTGCTCAAACCCATGGACTGGTAGATGCCTCTCGTAGACTCTGTGAAGAGGTAAATAATACCCCACGAGATTCCCGAGATGAAAGCAATGAGAATCACGAGCGGCTCAGCAAGGAGAATGTAGGCGGGCCTGACAACCACTATGTGCGCGAATGCCTTCCAGCCTCCTGACCTGGGGTCGGCATTGTGCCACCTGAAATCTTCAATCTTGTCGCCTTGCTCCCGCTCGAGCCTGGCCACCGTGCGCCCAAGCAGCACGCTGGGCCGACTCTCCTTCACCCCGATGAGGGCCACGGTAAGCACACCAGTGACAATGGCCGCGCTGTAGTAAACCCATCTCCACCCAGCCTGGGGCGAGGAGATTATATAGGATGCATATATGGGGCCAATGCAGAGCGCAATTGTGGTCGCGGCGTTCCAGAGCACGACAACCCACACGCGGGCTCTCGTGTCGAAGAGGTCCTCAACACTGCCCGCAATGACGACTGAGGGTACAGCTGAGGCGATTCCAGTCAGGAACCTGCCAAATAATATGGCCGCTGGCGTTGAGGTACCTCCAAGTGGTATGATCGCGCAGAAGATGCTGAAGACGGCTGAGGATATAAGATATGGATATCTTCGGCCCGCGAGCTCGGAAAGGGGAGGGATGAGGTAGCCTCCGATGGCTTGGCCCAGCTGGTACCTACGAGGAGTGAATCAGACATGTGTCACTGACGTATCTATGGCAGCTTTGGATTTCATTGTGGGATAAGCGTGTTAGAATGAGACGGAGAAACACTGGTGACTCACATGAAAGTAAAAGCAACCAGTGCCGTGATCCTGCTCATGTGGTACTCTGGTCCAGCAACATCGGCCACTGCTGCCTATTCCAATCAATAATGGTCCTTTTTCTCGAATCGTGGTCTGCCACAACTCAAACCGCGGGGGGGGGGGAGATCCAACGTGTAACATCAATGATACAAAAGGAAAACACTTACTCCCGTTGTACTAATGATAGTTCTGACACCCTTCGTAAGCAGCTTCGAAACAATACCAAAAGAGATCCCGAGCGTCTATGGAACTCACGTATAAAGCTCGAGTAGAATTATCAATGCCGTATCGTAGACTTTTCGGCCAATAGGCCAATACCGAGGATGGTGCGGGCTGTCACGAGCCCAGCTAATGACCCCATCCGTCTCTCTTGCAAGCCCATATGAAGACAGGATCTCCCCATCGTCGAGGTCTGTGGCTGAACGGATTACGATGGCACTATCGCCAGAGGCATCGCCTTTAGCAATCATGTTGCTTCTAGGACAGAACGAAAGGGATAGGAAATGCTCTAGCGCGGCGTGAAGAACCAGTTGACCCTGATTTGCGGTAAGCCCTGATTTCTGAGATTTGTAACTCCAACGTATCTCACAGCCAGAACAGTCACTCAAGGGCACTAAGTTTTATTTTGTTTATACATGCATACATCACGTTGTACTCTTTTCGTCGCTGCCTATTCCCTTGGCAACCTAGCTGTGACTGACTTAGATCGCCGATGTCTGCAAATGTGGTCGATCAGATCGCTATCCTGCACATGCAGTGTCTCCCTTCTCAAGAACATGAGCATCTTTCGGCCAGACGTGTTTCCATTGGCCCTCATGTGTACGTACTTAGGTAGTTAACAATACTATATGAGGAATGGCATGAACAGTAATATTTTGGCGTCGGGAGCTATTGATCTGGCTGCTTCTTATTTGTCCACTCCACGGCGCCAATGGTCCAGACTTCAAGCTTACTTCGGCATTTACCTGGCCGGCCCACAGGATGTATACTAAAGTGGCAAAATACCCCTGCTCGCATGTAATCTAGAATCTTTTAAGAAATACAGCAGTCGCTATATACACGCTACAGGCTTCCATACCATGCTCGTAGTACTGGGCTCCTCTCCGATCTCTCACAACTCGACGGTTTCGAAGGAGATGTAAAGCTCCGAGTTCCAACGTGAGCGTGGAATACGCACAGAAGAGATAGTTCTGGCCGTGTCACCCAACCTAGCGCTTTCAGAATGCTAGGAACAAAACCTTGCCTTTAGTAGCCCAATCGGATTCCACAGCGCTGGCACAAACTCACTCGAAACCGCCCGGGCGTGCAACGCATCCACTCACAGTAAGCATTGTACAAAAATTTCGGCGACACGACATTGGTGCGTTTCCGTAGCCCCGGAGAAAAGATTTAGTGCTGCGACTATCTGATCCTTCGTGACATTGCCCAGGGTGATACGGAGTTCGATCCGCTCGAGAAGTCTGAGGAAGCTTGGCTCCTGCGCGTCTGATCTCCGCTACAGTGCGCTTAAACATTCACTACGGCCTCATTAAACACGACATAACTGGAGGCAGCGGCTTGTAACATTGGAAGTCTTGGGCAACTTGCAACATGTGAAGTGAACATACCTTCGCGATCTGTCGAGATTTACTCACAATCCCACAATACAATTTGGTTATGTCTCTTTTGCTTGTTGTATTATTTCAAGATTCTATTTGAAGCCCTGTTTTGCCATGTCAAGCCGTCGAGCCCCTGAAATGTTGTGGTGCATGGGTTGTCTACCTAGGTACTTGGCCCCCGTCAAACTCCGGTGCTTCCGACTAGACATTTTGGAGGAAATATGTTGTGTACTGCTTAGAAATTTATCGGGCTAATAAATGGTAGAGGTCCACCTCGGACCCATGAGGCTCGTTGGCATCGGACTTATGGGAAGCACACGGGCGCGAGCGTCCTTGACTTACGTTCCCGCTCCAGCCAAGCCTCCATTTGATTGAGCGGCATGGTAGTCATTAGGTACTTCCGTCCCCGTGGCTAGCCAACACACGCCGCGAATGCAGGTTGGTCTCAGGGCGAGGACAGTTAGCTTGGAAAATTTCAGCTGACTGGCTTGGACATTGACCTTTTGGGAAAGGCTGATATCACCTGCCATGTTATACTGATAAATATAATGTTTGTATTGCTGCCCTGAGAGCGGTGCCGATTGGTTTGAAAGGCTCGACGTCCTGGATTTCATGTCGTGGCACTTCCGTCAGTCTTCCCCAAGGGTCTTCTATTGTGTGCTGGGTCAAATTTCACCATGGAGAAGGACAGCAACCCGTCGACTCAACTTTGGGGCCGGCCGGAGCTGACGGGTGCTGCATATGACTTCAGAAGTAAGCACTCAATTTATTCATAAGAATATCCGCAGTCTGAATATCGACCTTGAGCGACGGACGCAAAGGGAGAGGGGCTCGACAAAGAGAGATACGCGGGGCCAACATCCGAGTCTGACATATTTTACACAGGCGATGTGATAACTACGCCCTCGGTCGGCATGCTCGACGCTATCAGACGAGCAACCTTAAACGACGATGTCTATGGGGAAGACCAGACTACCTCCGCTTTCGAGCGTGAGATGGCTTCCATTTGCGGTAAGGAGGCGGCCGCCTTCGTGATCACAGGCACCATGGCCAATCAGCTTGCGTTGCGCACCCTCCTGAACGAGGCACCACCCTATGCTATCATGACAGACGCCCAGTCTCGTGAGTTCCCGCTGCCGCCGACTCCATCTTGATATTTTCCCTGTTCTTCCTATCATCGCCTTTGAGGCAAACTGCACCGCCACAAAAATATGGAATCCCCGAGAGCGGTCGCACCGCTGATGAGGGGAGCCTGCAGATATTGTTCATTGGGAGGCCGGGGGCGTCGCGTTCCTTAATGGGGCCATGATCCAGGCCATACGGCCGCTCAATGGCAGATACCTCACGGCGTTGGACGCAGAGAAGCATGCGGTGCTAGGCTACGACGTGCACAAGGCGCCAACACGCGTGGTGAGTATTGAGAACACGAATTCGGGTACGGTAATTCCGCTTGAAGAGCTGCAGAATCTTCACGCCTGTGAGTAGCCCCACAGTCCCGTTACTAGGACGAGAACTAGACCTGAAGAAAGGACTTCGTCTGGCAGCAGTAGCTGTCGAGACACCAACGACGCAGAGTGGTTAGTGTATTGACGTAAGATGAGGACTGACCGAAGGTATTATAGGGGCACAAAAAAATCATGTCTCGATTCATATGGACGGAGCACGACTTTTCGATGCCGTGACAGCTAGCAGTTCATCACTGAGTGACTTCGCACAGTGTGCCGACCTCATCACGCTTGACTTCAGCAAGAACCTAGGCGCCCCAATGGGAGCTATGGTCCTCGGGTCAGCAGCTAACATTAAAAGATTGAAACGAACACGAAAGGGAATGGGCGGTGGGATGCGACAAGCCGGTGTGCTGGCCTCTGCGGCACGCCAAGCGGTAGTTGAGAATTTTGGACTCAGTGGCATTGACTCTGCTGGGGTCCTGGCCAGAAGCCATGGCATTGCGCAGTCGCTTGGGAGATTTTGGACTGAAAGAGGGGGGCGTCTGCTGCGCTCGGTGGAGACAAACATAATATGGGTAGACCTCAAATCGCTTGGGATTGATGAGAGAACTTGGAATGCAACTGGTAAGAGCCGTGGTATCTTGTTGGATGGCAAGAGGATCATGGTACATCACCAGATTTGTGACGAGGCTGTGCTGAAGCTACAGACCGTCATGGACGAGTTATTGCCTAGCGAAGCCAAAAGCATTGATTTCGATCGTGCCGTTATCACGTATAGCACGAGGGCAAGGTTATGATCGAGTTAGTAATGAAAAAGATTAGTGAGCGTTTTAGTGCGCTCTTATTCTTATAGTATAATATAATAATAGGGCTTTCTTATAATTAGAAGTAGAACTTAAAGAATATTTACTTAAATATTTTATAATAGAAATAATTAGTCTATTTAAAGAGGATTACTTTAAGTAAGTTATACTTTAATTCCTAGATAAAGGAGAAGAAAGATATAAAATTTAGTAATATAATAAAAGTAGACTACTAGTATAAATATAGAGGAAAGATATAATATTTATAATAGTAGGCTAGTAGATTATATCACTCGATGGTAGTTCTAGTAGGGTTTAAATTTATACCTCTTATATAAAGATTTAAAGGAGTCCATATGCTCCAGTAGAAGTGTACCTAGGCAGACAATTCCTTCATATATCGATAAATGCTTAAAGTCTACAGGTTCAAGACATGATGCCGATGACAGTGGGGTCGAAATGTGACCTGGCATTGCGTCCCATATGTGAGTTAGCCCTGGAGTGCTGCTTGGTTGAATAAGTTCAGTGTGAGAATCATTAAAATTTGACGAATGGCGAGGGGTGTGAGAAGCCTCTACAGTCTGATAAATGCCTGGTTATGTAGATGCTTAGCTTTACTTGCCGTGTTGTGTGCACTGTCATCTGCATGAAAGTCTATCCTTGACTTCATCGACTTTGCTGACGTCAAATATTGTCTGATCATGTCCTGCAGTCAATCAGAGATTATAGTTCAAACCACAATCATCCGTCCGCGCTGGCTGGATGGAGAGTGTGGTATGAATATCAACAGGTAAACGGGAGCCCGGAAAACATCACGCAGGTGCTTGCGGGGTTTTCTATTTGTGTACCTCGGCAAATACGGCTAGCTGTTATGAGGAGAAGCAATTGCATCCAGTCAAGCCTCCTGGAATTCCAATAGCAGACTGCCGAGTAAAGATCTACTATGCAATACAACGCTTCACGTAACAACGATACCACTGTGTGGCTTATCTCAGCACTAAAAATGGCAACTCGGCTTTGCTTTTGGTTGTATCGGAAAGACTGCAGGATGCGAGATCCACGACTATTGCTTGCTCTCAACCGAGTTATATTTCAAAATCTTCATGGTTAAGTAAACAATCCCAACCCATCCTCACTGTACGAAATGATATCTGAGTCCGTTCGCCACAGTTTCAGCTCTGTTCTCAGACATAATCGACTTTTCCGGCTTACACGTAGGACAAGCATCACTAAGCCAATTTGGGTTCTGTCTCGTCTTGGTCTCGGGGTAATGCTTGACACTTGCCAGTGACCTCTGGAAGTGGAAAGACAAGAGTCTGTCCAAGGCCGATCAGTCACACTCGTGTTACGCCACCCGCACTGATGCGCGTCGTCCCGCGCCGATAGTATAAACACCCAAGAAACCCCAGTTGTGGCTCCCTCCTCGAAATTCAAACACCGGCCTGCTCAGCTCTCATCTTCAACGTCACGGCCAGCAAGCATGTCGGTCTCCGGAACCCAGTCTGAGAATGAGGCCCAACTGCGTCCACCTGAAGCCGAGAAGGACACTTCCGACGTCCGCGTCCGGGATGGAACTGTCACGAAGGTGATTCACGCCGATGGCGCGGTGGACTATGTTGACTTGAAGGCCATTGGCGGCGATTATGCCACAATGCATCAGGGATATTTCCGAAGTCCACAATTCCTCGGCACTTTGACGGTAGGGAGAGATTTGGCAAACAACTTGTATGTTGGCTAACGGGTTACTAGGCTCAATGTCTCGCTAGCATATGTGCTTACGTTGCCTGGGTGTTACCTTCGAACACACTGTGAGTTATAAATTGCGTCTTGCCATACTTTGACCGGCCAGCATAAGATATGCTGACTTGATCCCAGGAGCCTTCTGAATGCAGAACTTGGGCCATCCCCTAATATTACCTGGGTGGCCACTGTGTACACCCTGGGCTGCTCCGTCGGCTTCCTCCTGGTAGGCCGACTATCTGATCTCTACGGCCGCAAATGGATCGTCCTCGGAACCTCGATGTTGGGACTGATAGGGTGCGTCATCGGATCTTGCGCCCAGACTGTGGAGACGCTGATCGCGGCAAACGTCCTCAACGGCCTGGCATCTGCCGGGCAGCTGTCCTTCAACGTCGTCATGGGGGAGCTGGTGCCAAACAAGTGGAGGGGGGTTGTCTGCTCCTTCATCCTGCTCTCTTCTCTCCCCTTCGCCGTCTTTGGTCCCGTGATCGCGCGGTCCTTCTTCAACAATACGGTTTCTAGATGGAGGTGGAATTACTACATGGGAGACATACTGGGGTTTATATCCCTGGTACTGTACTGGTTCTTTTACCATCCACCATCCTACGATCAGCTCCACGTCCACGGGAAGACTAGGTGGCAGATGACCAGAGATCTGGACTTTGTCGGAATCTTCCTGTACGTTGCCGGCTGTGTGCTTTTCCTGGTCGGTCTTTCGTGGGGAGGGTCTGTATATCCATGGGTGAGCGCGGAAGTTCTCTGCACCCTGCTCGTCGGAGTCGCAACATTGGCCGCGTTTGCCGTCTACGGTCAGTATTCACCCGAACCCTCAAACCCCAAGAACGGTACCAGGCTGACTCGACGTATTTAGAGGGCTATTTCTGCAGGGTCCAGCCCCTAATGCCGCCGAGAATGTTCAGGAATGTCGGCTTCGTAGCCATCATTGCCATCGCCGTTGTCGGAGCCATGGTTTATTTCTCGCTCACCGTGCTCTGGCCCACGATCATTGGCTCTCTCTACACTGCCGACTCGATGCAAATCGGCTGGCAGAGTTCTGTGGTTGGTGGGGGGATGCTCCTCGGTCAGACGATGGGCGGGTTCTGCATCTCGTACGTGCCCAAGGTGAAGTGGCAGGTCATTATCGCGTCAGCACTTGCCTTTGCATTCGCCACGTCCCTCACGACTATTTCCCCCGATCGATGGTCGGCAACTATAGCTCTGGGAATTCTGCTCCTCATTTGTGAGTTCTTGACTGCCCCCTGTTAAGATGACACCACCTCAGGGGCTTTTCCTTTCTTCTTCCACCCACTAACACGCCCCAGCCGTTGGATTTGTCGAGAACATCTCCTTTCCAGGAGTCACGCTCGTGTGGGAAGCACAAGACATCGGCCTCGCAACCGGCGTCCTGGGCTCCATACGCAGCCTCGGCGGCTCCATCGCGACAGCGCTGTACTCGTCTGTCCTCGCGAACGAGCTGGACAAGAACTTACCCAAGTACGTCGTGCCGGCTGCCACAGACGCGGGCCTCCCGGAGTCGTCCGTGGAATCCCTCCTTGCTGCCCTCACGGCCGGTGACTTCTCCGGGGTTCCGGGCATCAGCCCCGAGATCATTGATGCGGTCGGCGGGGCGCTTAAGACGGCGTACGCCAGTTCGTTCAGGGTCGTGTTCTACGCGACCATTCCGTTTTCTGTCATCTTGCTGCTGAGCGCGTTCTTGGTGCCGGACATGAAGAAGTTCCTCAGCCACAACGTCGCGAAGAAACTGCAGGAGGGTAAATTTGAGACCCGTGCTAAAGAGAAGAAAGAGATAAGGGAGTAGGTATAAGATTTATTAAAGTACTATACCTATTTAAGTAAGTATTTTATATATTTAAATAAAAATATTATTTATTATATTTATTATAATAATATAATATAATAAATACAAATAAATTTATTATATTTTATTATATTAAAAATATTTTAAAATTTATTATATTATATTAAATAATTTAATATATATATATAATATAATAAATTTAAATATAAATAAAAGTTTAAAAAATAAAAATAAAAATAATAAAAATTAATTAATTAATTAAATAAAATTAAAAAAATTAAATAAAATTTTTTATTTATTTATTATTTTATTTATTTATTATTATTATTATTTTATTTTTAATTTTTAAAGTTTCCTTTTTTTTTTTTCTTTTTTTTTCTTTCTTTTTCTTTCTTTCTTTCTTTCTTTCTTTCTTTCTTTCTTTTTTTCTTTCTTTTTCTTTCTTTCTTTCTTTTTTTTCTTTCTTTTTCTTTCTTTCTTTCTTTCTTTCTTTTTCTTTTTTTATTATTTTATTTATTATATTTATATAAAATTAAAATTATTTAAAAATATTTTAAAATTAATAAATATAATTTTTATTATATATATAATTATATTAATATAATTAATTATTAAATTTATTTTAAATATTTTAAATATTTTAAATATTTTAAATATTTTAAATATTTTAAATATTTTAAATATTTAAAGTATTTTTATAATTATTTAATATTAATAAAATAAATAATATTTAAAATAAAAAATAAAGAATTTATATAATTTAGTATTTTTATATATAAATTTTAAATATTTTAAAATTTTAATTTAAAAAAATCTTTTATAAAAACTTTTATATATAAATAAAATTAATAAAAATATAAAATATAAATATAATATAAAAGCTTTATAATAATATAGAATTATAAATATAATTAAATTTATTTTCTTTTTTAATTAATATTTTTAAATATTTTATAAATTAATTATATTTTTATAATATAAATATTATAGATTATTTATATTTTTAATTTTATTATTAAATTAAAAGTAAATAGTTAAAGTTTTAAAAGAATAAAATATAATATATTTTTAAAATTAATTTAATTAAGTTTATTATATAGAACTTTTATAATAATTTTATAATTTATATTTATAATATTATTTATTATTAAAAGATATTTTTATATTAGTATATTAAATTATATTTAATTAGTTTAAGTTAGTACTATTAGTTTATTAAAGGTTAAAGTTATTATAAATTATAAATTACTTAATTTAATATTAATAAGTACTATATATAAGTATTAAATTTACTATATAATTTAAGTAAGTTAGTTAAAATAAATAAAAATAAAGCTATTATTTCTCTAAGGGTTCTAACTCTACTTTATAAGTAAATATTTATTTATTAACTCTATAAGTAAAACTACTTAAAAATAGTTACTTAGCTTACTATATAATCTATTAAATTAAAAATAACCTTTAAATAAAGTAACTATACTTTATTACTACTCTAAATTTATAATTCTAATAGCTTATAAATAAAAAGAAATAATTATTAATAATTAAATTTATAACTATATAAAAATAAACCTTTACTTTAAAAGAAGTTATTAATATTTAAAATAGTTAATATATTTTTAGAAAAGTTAAGGGATTATAAATTTAATTTAAAGGAAATTAAAATCTATAAAAATTTTAAATTTAAGCTTAAAGGTTTTAATTTAATATTTATATTTATAAAAATAAAAGTATTTATATAACTTAAAAGGAGACTTAAATTAAATTAAAGATTAAATTAAGTTATAATAAAAGAAATTAATTAAATAAAAATTAATTAGAAAATTATAATTATAAATCTTTTAACTTTATATTAAAAAGGAATATAAATATTATAATATAATTATTTTAAAATTTATATTTTCTTTTTAATAACTTTCTAATAAATCTTAATTACTATATTTACTATTAATTTTCTAAATAATTAGGGTTTTAATACTTCTTTTATAGTGCTAAGGGTATTAAGTATATACTATAGTCTAGATTATCTTCTCTATTAAAACATGCTGTGGTGGGGGCTTGTTGTACGCAACAGTATCGACAGGGGATCCAATTTAGTAGCAGGGGTCCAGCCCCCCACTGTAAAGTTACGATAAGCTGATAAGAGCAACCCCCTGCACCTCACTCGAATTTTTTCTACCTGGGAAGCGACTCCGAACTTGACGATTCAACAGCCATTGAGTGCGCCGAGGCCGTATTGCTTGCCCACCATGGCTGCGACTTTCAACATCCAGAAGCCATATGTGCTCACCACCCTGCCTCGACCGCTGAACCAGCGGGAGGGCGCGAGCGCATACCAAATTGGCGATGTCTGGGGCCAGCAGCCGGGGTCCAAGAAGAGGAAGCGATCCGAGCTGGCAGTCGGCATCGATGGCGAGGCCCTCAACCTCTACGATGTCAGTCCCTGGCAGCAAATCCTACCCCCAATCCGCCCAGGTCATCATCACTGACTCACTGATTCCCTCTAGGTGCCCTCATCACGGCTGATCACCTCCTACCCCGTCCCACCCCAATCCATCTTCACCTGCTCTCCGTGCTCGACGAGGTCCAGGGTCGCAAAGAGCAAGGACGTCACACGACACACCTACATCTCGACCCAAAACCCAAAGCCCGAGATCACCCTGTTCAAGGATGTCATAGGGGCCTCTGGCGAGACGACCTCGACCACCTTGACCAAGAAGGTGGCCCACTCCTCCAAGATCGTGCATCTTAGTACCGCCTCCACCACGAGCCCCTCGGGCGCCGATGACGCTGTCGCAGTTCCAGACCTGCTGGCTGTTGCCGAGGATGGCACCGTCATGTGCCTTCAGGGCAATGATCTCGAGAAGCAATGGCAGGCTACCCCAGACATTCTGAAGCAAGACCTGCCTGCCCTGCCCAAGGGAAGCCGACTCCAGGTTGACCTCGTCCAAGCGGCGCTCGCCAGCGATGTCATCGGAGGCTTGTTCGGAGGCAACAAGGACGCTTTTGCGGCCTCGCTACGGACAACACAGGAGGATACATCCGCCCAAGACACGCTGCTGCTGGTCACGAGGATCGCGGGCAAGGAGGGGGAGACTCGCCACCTCCACGTCCTGGGCATCTTCCACGCCTCGGAGACGCAGCCTACCGGACGGCTAGTTCAGATGCACACCTCCCCCATCCCGACATCCTCCTCGGCTGCAAGTGGGCCCGGCAGCCTCCGCCTGGACGTCAGTTCTGGGTCCCTGATGGAGCTTGAGGAGGACGGGCTCGTTACATACGATCTGACCTCCAGTGTTGTCAAAGTCGACAGCAAGCTCGAAGTCCCAGACGTGAAGTCGTTCGTGCGACTGTCCAAATCGTCCGTCCTTGCAGCCAAATCTGACTCTTTGGATGTTTACAATCCTGTGTTCCAGTCTCTACAAGCATCCTCAACCATCGATCTGGATACGACGAATAAGGCCTCAAGCGATGTGACTCTGTCACTGGTGGCATATTTTGCGAGACTCGAGATTGCAGTGGCCATCTATGGGGCGTCCCTTGTCGCCGTGCAACTGGAAGCCCCTAGGACGCGAGGCAAGAAGCGAAGGGCGGAGGGGCTCTTGATTGACTCGATTGGTCGGGGTATCGCTCAGCACAAGGATCTCATGAAGAAACCGAAGACGGACGGTGAATCGTCAAGCTTCTCCGAGCAGATTCCGGGCTCCGTCACTGGCAATTACTGGTCCGAATATACTGCAGACGTGCAGAAGGCCGATGCGCTCCTCGAAACCGGCGACCTGGCCGGCTTCGAAGAACTCATGGCCATTAGATTCGGGATTGCAACGAAAGAAGCAGACACCGCAAACGGCCAAGCGGACGAAGAACAGCCCAAAATGCCAGAATGGATATGGCCAAGCCAGCGTTCTGCGTATCCTCCAGCTGACCGCCGATGGATCCTGTACACGATCACAACGCTGTTCGACTGGCAGGACGCAACGGAACAAGGCACAGATCAGACAAGGCTTGTTTGCAGGCTACCACACAGCAACGTGCTGAACTGCCTGGTTGACGCCGGTCACCTTACCATATCCAACCTCCAGTCAGCTTTCAAGGATGAGCTCAGGACTGTCGACGACGCCGATCACATCCTCAGCGAAGAAGTACCTCAAGTACTGGTACAAGCAGACCCAACCTTCGAGCTCCTCCTCTCCTACCTTTCATCAACGAAGCTAGGGGCTGGCGAGCTCCTCACGTCTGTCCGTCTGATCATGCGTAGCCTCGAGCTCGTGCAAGACCCCACAAAGATCGCGCCCAAGCTGCTCGCCTTCGAATCGGAACAGCCAGACGACGCCGACCCGGACGAGAGCATGCTCAACGCGGACCAGAGCGCGTTCGGCCACGAGCTGGACCGCCTCGAGCAGGAGCTCGAGGTCACGGAGTTCTACCTGGGCGACCAGTCCACCATCCGGCCGCGGGGCCTCAGCGTGGCCTTTGGCAAGCTGGCGAGCTGCCCGCGCGGCCCCACCATCCGCACCCTGCGGCGCAGCTACAAGCCCGAGGAGATCCTGTCGCTTATCTACGTGCTTCGCATGGAACTCGTCAAGGACGGCTGGACGACGCGGTACCTGGACAACACGCGCCTGGACGAGGACGACGAGCTCGAGGCGCCCCCCGACGGCAGCATCAGCCTCCTCGCGGACCTGCTCTGCCGGTGCATCGACGCCGTCGGCCCCGGCGGCTGGCTTATTAATGACGCCATCGTCGCGGCCGGCGCGGGCGACCACATGGACTCGGCCGACTTCCTCGCCTCGCTGAAGCTCGAGGTCAGCGCGGCGCTCGAGGGCGTCCAGGAGGCCGTGTTCCTGCGGGGCATCCTGTCCGAGGCGGTCAGGTACGGCGCGCAGGTGCAGGCCGGGCAAAAGACCAGGCGCGCGGACGGCAAGGTGGTGGTCGCGCACGGAGGACACGGCAGCAACAAGGCAGCCGGCGGCGCCGGCGGCGAGGGCGCCATGCTGCCGCTCGGCATGAAGGCCAAGGGGAGGATCTCAGCTGACAAGGTTGTCTCCGGGGGCGAGGTTATCAAGAAGAGCAAGAGGGAGATTGGTCAGCTGATCAGCCAGGAGGTTGAGAGCTACACAACGGAAAGCATCCGCATCTAAGGCTGCCCGGGGAGGTTGATTGCATGCATGAAGCGGAGAGTACGGTGTGCCAGGGCAGGCGTTTTTCTTTTTCTGTGAGTAGGGTCAAGGCCTAGGTAGGCCTCGGGTGTACAAAAGTTGTCGGCTGGGTTGGTAGCCGCGGGGACATGTTGTCTGAGCAGAATAATTCGAGCAAATACCCCCCATCACAGTGGCGCCAGGGCAATCACAAGAAGTGTTACATGCGGACACATGTCCTGTCCATTGTGTAATGCACAGTGCGTAAGTACATTGGTGTAAATTCTCTATGTGCCGGGGAGGGGAAAAGAGCCCTACGGCATTCATCCTAACACTACGAGGAGATGGAGCGAGACACACCCGACATGCCAGGCGCGTAGTTCCGGACAAGGCGACACAGCTACACGAGCACAGGAACAAGACCGACGTTGCACAGACATGTCGCGTGCCGCTCGTCGCCAGTCAACGGCCTGGGATGGACGACCTGTGCTTTTCGCCCGGGCGGAGGCAGACTCGGAGGGCCCTGTGAGACGGACAGACGGACAGACAGCAACGGGGCTTTGTTCCTCGGGTTTAATGGACGACAGCCCTTCTGCTCGTCTGTCTGGGCCGGGGCCGGCCCCGAGGTTTTTGTTGCGTGCCATGCGGGAGAAGAAGGGAATGGGCTTTTGACATGGGCGCGAAGGCCGTCTTGTCTGTTGTCTGTGTGTAACCGGGGCACGCTGGCCTGTCGTTAGGCGTGTAACGTTTCGAGAATCTTGGGTTGTGCGCGGTGCAGCAGCGTCTGACCACGCTCCCAATGTGTCTTGTCTGTCCTCCTGCCCACAAGTGTAATTTCCCCGACTGATAACTTTTGTTTGTTGTCGTTGCCTTATGCTGTGGACGGGAATACACGGGGGACAAGGCGGACAGGATCAGGTGGGCTGACATGGATGACATGTCGCAGGCGTGACATGTCATGGCACTGACAAGACCGACAGACAGACTGACTGGCACTGCCTACTTGCTTACTTGCCTGCCTAGTGGCATGTTTCTACACTGCGGCTCATTTCTCTCCTTTCCTGTATCTCGATGCGGTCCAACAACATTGTAACACCTTTGCTTGCGCCCGGGTTACTACTATTACATGTCCGCGCTCGAGAGAAGCGAGAGGGAATGAAAGCCGGAGGGCTGCCTGGCTCAGGCTCCCTCCCCAAGGCGCGCCTCGGGGTTCCGAGTCGGTGCGCGGGCATCGAAACTCTGCCCACCACAGCAGCAGAGCCGCATTCGCATCGGATGCGCATCGCCCCTCATTCCTCCCCGCGAACCAGCCGGCGCCCCCCGGCCCGTTGGACTGGCTGACTGCCTTCCTGCCTGTCGCTCGTCATCCGCTATCATGGGGTAAGAGGGTGGTCTGAACGAATCCATCCGATCCCAAGGGGACGGCGGGATCTCCCTAGGCATTATGGAAGATTCCGCCTGGCGTGTCTGCCTTGAGCCATTGTCAAGCCTCCTCTCTTACCTGGGCCAATCTCGGTATGGGGAGATTGCTAATAAATAACTAGTCTAGTACGTTTGTGTGTGTGTGTGTGTTTGTGTGTGTCTGTGTTGGTCTGACATCGCGTAAGCCACTTGTCGGGGGGGAGGGGGCTTGGCCACTTGGTAGTTAGCTCGGAGCCGGGAACTCCCAGTCTCCCATGGACCGACCGGACCCAGCAATGGGGCTTGGCTCACAGAGCCGCATCGCGGACTTATCGGGGGGAGGGGGCGGACATATTGATGAGGGCGATCGGGGAGTATGCCCGTGTAGATTTCTCTGGTGGCAGATATAATGGCCTGGAAAACTCCTGGGGATATCGTTGCTGGCAGGCTTGCCCCTGGTTGCCACAGCTTCCGTAATGATTGTTCATCCGACGATTTTAGGCTCACGGCTACATGCGGCTCACATGTTGCCTCGTGAGCTTGCGCGCCCTTTCTTTGGACGAGGGCCCTGCGATGTCGTCGAGTATCGGATGCGAAGGAGAATATCAAACCTTGGGTGTTGGACCATGTGACATCAAAATGAAATCTGCTTATTCAGACGAACTGGATGCTTCGGGCAATGAGTCACCTACAGGACGTTGATCATATGTAAGGTAATATCTGCATCATCTATGATTCCGGGACAGCCGACTCGGCTGGATTATCTAAGGCGAAGCACGCTTTTGCCTCCCGTGGAAGGGATTTCTGATCAAAATAAAAGGCTATCACGAGTTGGTTTCGTCATCAACATCGCCTACTGTGATTCCCGGATCCCTGCCCCAGACCGAAAAGACAGACATATTGTCAAGCTCGGCATATGCCGATCTCTCGGGCAAATGGGGCCTCGCGAGACATATTTCGAGGACTGTTGCCTAATAAATGGGTATCCGGGGCAGATCGCGCCTATCCGAGTTTTCTTTTGTCACGATCAATGTTGGTGCCGAAGTCGCGAGCAGAATCTTGACAATTGCCACAGTGCCGCCCGCCCCACACGATGAGACCATTTCTGTGACGATAGTGTGACGATAGCTTATAGTGTTTCCAACGATCACACTTAAGCTCCCCGGTCCAAGATGACCGGGTGCGGCGGGATACCAGCCTTGGTTCTTTAGCCACATTTTCCACCCTTCTGCACATGCCAAAGCTGAGCTCGCCATTGGATCAAAATGTCACGCGGTTCACACGGCTTCCTTAGACGCGCCTACCTGCTTGAGAAGGGCGACTGGATTATACATGATGTAGGCTGCGTTCTTGGGCGTCAGGCTTGCTTATTAGAATCTCTTGGGGTGTGAGCAAAAGTCCCGAGCGTAACAAAGAACGGCCGCTCCCGCATACCGGCCTACGATGGCTCCACTTCAAACCGACAAGTTGATGCCGATAAGCATGAGCCTCTATAATAGGCTCAAGGTACATATTTGGTGTGATAGTGCCTTCTCGTCCACAAGGCTGTATGGTTGGTAGGCCAGGAAGCCCCCTTGACAGATGAGCAAACGATTCCCTCTGGTATTGGATGGTCTGAACGGCCATAGTTCCTTCCAGGGCTGTCGCCCCGCTTGTAATTATGTCGTATGTACAACTCTTGTAGCACCACTGGGGATCGGGGATGAGTTAGTTCATCATAGTTTTATCGCGGCCAGTCGATCGAAACGAACCAACCACTGCCACCACTGCACGGCTGGGGCTCTAAAACCTGGATTGGGGTCACTAGTCTTGCGCCTAGCAAGATGTTTTATTCGGGCGGGCTGTTTTGCATGCTGGCATGACAAAAAGCAACATATTTGGGGGGCAACAGGTGAATTGCCAACTCTCGTGAAACACCTAGGATACTAGTCCATGCGAGAACATACAGAGAAAGTGTACCATACTGTGGGATCAGACCATAAAACTCAACTACGATACGTCATTCGTGATGAGGTTGCGCGTAGGACACGTTCTTCACTTTCTTCGCATTTCAATATGGGGCCAAGCACTTTTAGTCTTGCTGCAGGCTGTGAATGATGAATGTGTGAACGGACACTTTTTGATCACCGCCCCCAACAAGTGCACAAACGCGTCTCCCACATACATATGCAGTGTCTTGCCCTAAGGGTCGTAGTATAACGCCAATTAGAGAGGCTTAACACGGACTCAAGGATGGCGTATCGCTATGAGCTGGGCAGGTAAGTATCCTTTCACATGTATGCAGAAGAGCCGCATTTGCTAACTACTAGTAGCAGCCGCCGGTGCTCCCCACAGCCTCGACCGGCGAGGACACCATGATACAAAGACGTGGTATTTTTGTCCCAGTAGCCTATTTGATCACAATTGCCGTCAGCATACTCGGCAGTTGCGATGAGGCTATGTCGACTTCAGGACGCCGTCCATTAAGTACATTTGTAACCAGGCGGGCGTTGGAGGCTCCGGATGACTCGGCCGGCGATGATGACGGATCACCGCAGGTGCCTTGCTAGTCCTCTGAAACGACGGTAGCTTAGGCTTTCCCAGGGAAGTCTGACTGCTGATATGACCGGAAGGACAAAGTGGGATGGATAGGTAGCATTGTCATTGATTGGATAGAAATACAGAAAATGGCTTCTGAAGGAGTTGCCCAAAGTGCGGACCGACGTCTTGCATATTATACAGCCCCATATGTGCACTTTTGTTATCATCGATCGTCTGCAACGCCGTAATATCTACTAAGAATATGCATGCAGTCTTCCTAGCACACCACAGTAGCCCGCTGCGGCTGTCAACACACCTCTGCCTGCTTGCCTGCTTTCGACGCCAGGACGCCGTGTCAGCCGCCGCATGCACGACTTGTCAAGCTTATGCAAGGCAGGAGTTAGTTATTAGTCTGTCTACAGTAGTCTGGCCAGCAAGGCAGCAGGCAGCCCACTTTTTCTGTGTCTTTGCTGGTCAGCCAGCCACGCCACGTTTGTTGCTTGCCGGCGCTGCTCCAAGATTTGGGGTTCTGCGCAGCGAGTTGGTGCAGGGACAGGGCGACGATGCACGCTCGTGGGCCTCCCCGCGCCGGCGCCGCGGGTCGACAGCTCTCTACTAGTATCTCTATCTGCACACAGGCGGGGCGCGGGCCAGGCTAAGCTGGGTTCGTGGGCTTGCTGGCTTTAGGGCTGCGATTGGGCCGTTGTTTCTTTTCCGCCTTGGTGGGCTGTGTTGTGTATGTGTGTGTGGTCTGCAATGATACCTTGTGCGACGGGGAGAGCGGAAAAAATAACCAATCGACGGCGATGCAGTGTAGATTATCACGAGGTGGCGATGGCGGGATAGAAATTTTTCTACGTTCTCCCGCGCGGTGTTTTTGCCCGCGATGGCAAATGACAAGGGAGGAAGGATTGGATGGGATTTGATTCAGTGGTCAGAATCCTGACCGTAAGTGTTGTCCCAAATCCCAACAAAGCCCAATACGGAGGGGGAGGGATGTGGAGCAGCAGCGCCCTGCTTGGCCTTGGTGACCTGGGCTTGCCTGGCTTGGGCTGGCTTTCTTCACAGCCGCCTTCCTGATATGCAGAGTCCACATAAGATGTGTGTTTGAAACCCTGGACATGTGGAAAGGGTCCACGGCAATAACGAGCCCGGGTATGCCGTCGTTGCGCCCCCGGCTCTTTGTCGTGTTGTGCATTATGTGCAAATGGCCTTGGGTTGGAACGGGGCCAGCCGCCCCTCGTCAAGCCCTGGTCAGCATGGTGGTGGTGGTGGTGGTGGTGGTGGCAGTACTCCGTACTCGGTACGGTAGTTGTGTGTGTTGATTATCCACCTTCGATCAACCACAGAAAAAGCAGACAGATAAGACACATCTACCTCGTGACCGTAATGGTGGGGTGAGGTCTCGAGGCCCTCGAGGTCGAGAGACGAGGTCGAGAGACGAGGTCGTGTGGTCCACTTCTGATTTCTGGAGGGGTCGAGGCCTTGTGGAATTGGGCTGGGCCAGTGCCCCAACGCCGTGGTACAGCCCGGTGGCGCAGGGCTCCTAGGTTCGAGGCTAGAAGAAGCTTGGGAGCTTCTCTTGCTTCCCGCCCATTCTTCGCGTCTTCTTTGCTGCTGACTTGACTTGATGACGACCCCCCACCTCCCCAATGTGCACAGACCTCCCCACACCTGACAGCCCGGTCTGATTGGAGAGCATCCGGGGAAACAAAGGTGGTCTGTGCCAACCATGGCGATGATGATTTCATGCGACGTCATATGGCCGTGCCTGCTGTTCCCTGCTAGGAAACCCCCAGAGGTCCCTTGCTGCGTCCGGCCAAGGGGAGCTGCTGGGGACCCAGGGAGCTGTGTCGATTTGCTGTTTGTCCAGTCGCGTCGACCCCAAGCCTTCTGTGACGAACACCCAGGACACAACCACCAGCCGCACCAACCACCAATGCGACGGCCCAGTGCCGCTCCCAATCAAAAATGCACAAATGATGGGCGTCTCGAACACGTCCTGACGTCTACACGTTCGCACACGGGCCTGGAGAGGCGACGATCTGTTTCGAGACGGAGAAATTCGTCCAAGATTAACTGCCCTCTATCACAGGCTGGCAGGCAGGCAGGCAGGCATCATCATTCTGCCACCCACACACCATCCTTCCATTTTGGTCTGGGCTGTCTTGCTGTGGATATGCGCCCCGAGCACGCGAGGATGCGGACCATCATCAATCGACCCCAGCCTGCCAGCTGAACTTGCCTTGGTTACAGGTACAGTGACACACGAGCATATGTTTGTCCTGTTTAATATACACATCCACCCAGCTGCCGTCGTCGTCCACACAGACAGTAACACAAATACGTACCCACCCACCAGCACATTGCCGGCCTGTTTGTGCATCTTGTCCATCATCATATTCAAGTCTTGCAAGGCATCACCCACCCTGTGTGTGCTGGCCACAGCCATTGCCCGTCTTGTGTCCAGTCTTACTTCTCCTTCTCGCACCCTCACTCCCAATCCTCGAGCCGAACTCTTGGTCCTCGAGCCCTCGAGCCGCGCACTTCATCTTGACGAGTGTGTGACGGGTTTCCAAGTTTCTTTCTTGTTCCTGGATTGCTTTTTAACTTGACACAGCACACCACACCACAGACCCTTCTTCTTTTGAGTTCTGCCGCACCCAGCACCCGCAATTCCGCCACCTTAGTCCCATTCTGATCAGATCCTCCGGGCCTAAGACACGTTGGACCCGTGCCGTCGGTTCAAACCCCCTACATGCGTCTTAGGCTGAGGTACGAAGTACAGCTCTCTCTGCAGCCCTGGCCTGGTCTGCGACAATCCACACACCCAGAACACCCTCCTATGACAACAATCACGCCCATCCATTACATAGCCGCCCTCCCAACCCGGTCCGGATCTTCGCAGTCTGCCCCAGGGTGGTTGTGACGGCCGTCAGCCAGCATGTTTGTCCATCCTCACCTGTCCACAACACAGGGCGCTCTGTTCCATTCCAGCAAACGTCCACGACGACATACTACTGAACAAACCTCGAACAGCAGAAATAATACCGTGAGATTTCCACAGAACGCTCGCCTCGACCAAAACCAGCAGCAGCAGCAGCAGCAGCAGCACCACCACCACCACCCGACTGCGAGGGCGACGTTCCCCACACCAGCGGCAAGCAGTCTGCCCAGACCGGCGCCGCGTAGCGGCCACTACTACGACATGCCAGTGGACAGCAACTCCATTTCCTACATTTCTGCCGTCGCCGCGGCTGCACGAAACCTCTACCGCCGCGCAAAAATATCCGGCCCTGAGTTTGCCGAAATCGCAACTGCCGTGCGCCCTCTGCACTCGGTCCTGAAGCATCTGCGCGCCGAGGCAGAGGACGCAGACAGCCTCCTGAACAGCGACGGATACGAATCCTCCGTCTATGCCCGCCAGCTCACCCCGATAGTCGAGGACACCGACTTCACCCTCAAGCAGCTCGACACCATCCTCGAGAAATATGGCTCCTACCCCAGCGACGGCGAGAGCCCCGAAGGCACCCGCAGGGAACGCGCAAACACCAGTGCCAAGCGCATGGAGGACCGCGAGAGGGACATGGTCGCCCTGATCAGGACCAAGCTGGCCAACCAGAAGACCAACATCGACATCTTTCTGGACACGGTGCAGCTGCACAACCCCACGAGGCAGCACAAGCCCGTCGACCTGGAGCACGCAGACGGCCAGCAGATGGACAAGATCAAGGACAAGGTCGATGTCGTAGCTGCACGTCTGTTCCAGCGCAGGGCCAGGGCCCTCGCCTCAGGCGATGCTGCCCAGGAGAGCGAGGACCAGATGTGGCAACAATTCTGGGCCGAGCTGGTCAAGGAGGGCTTCTCCAGTGATGTCCTCCGGAAGCACAAGGTGAGTAAGAAGATGCAGTCGGAACATCACGCGTGCGGTGTCTCAGAAATTACATTTCCTTTCTTCCTCGATTCAGACGTGTCAACGTTGCACGGCAGTGCCCCAACGTGGTGCCACCGCGCGCCCTCGGGGCGCCCAAACTTATGATTCGCATATGACGGCTGCTGACCCTTTGCGCTCCCAGGAAGTACTGCGCGCTTACATCCGTGAGCTGGACTCAAATGGCTACCTTGATGACAAGCCGCCGTCGATGCGTGGGCTTCTAGACCAGCAGCTGCCCCAGCCCTATCCGGAAGCGCCCGCATTCGGTGCTCGCCAACCGCAGCAGTATGGCTCGTCCCCCCTGCCCCCGCCAGTCGAGATCACCCCGGCCTCGTACCCATCAAACCCCCATGCCGAGACCATGTCTCCCAAGGAGATGGTCTCGCCCACCATGGACAACGAGAAGTTCATGCCCAGCGTGAAGCTTGAGCGGCGCCAGCCGGAGCAGTGGCCCGGTCCTGGGGACAACCCTTCACCAACCAGGCCGTCTTATAACCCTTATATCCCGCAGACACAGGGCCAACAGGGCCAACCGGGCGGGCCACCTCCACCACCAACGAGCATGCCGGTGCAGACGTCCTTTGAGCGCTATTCGTCCGACTCGTGCTCGGATTCCGGCTCAACGGACTCACAGCAGCTGGCCCTCATCTCCACCAAGGACCTCATGGCACTGGATCGGAATGAAACTGACAACCTCTCGGCCCGCATGGGCGGACTCGGTCTCTCGCCGGCCATGTTACCCACAACCCACGGCGTCTCCCCAGGCACATCACCCAACATGCGATATCTTCCGCCGCCCGTCGCCGCCCTTCCGTCTGACCACTCGCTCAGCTCGTCGCCGCGATACGTCCCGTCCCTACCTGGGTACCCGAGCCCGACATCTTCCACAATGACTCCGCCTCCCCCTTACGCCTCCCCAAACCCCCATACCGCCGCTCCGATCCCCTTTCCCTCCTCAGCGCCAACATCGTCGGCCCCGGGCTTCCCACCACCACCGACATCGTCGGCACCGCGGCAGCAGCGTTATTCCCGCCTCGCACCAGACAGCGTTGGCAATGAGATCCCCCTCGAAGCTAAATGGACCCGGATCAAGCGGAGCCTGGTATCGACTGAGGTCCTCACAAAAGCGGGCGTGCGCTACGAGGCAAGGCCGGACTTCGTCGCCGTGCTTGGTGTCTTGACCAAGGAGCAGATCGCCGACTACGCGAGGAAGTCGGCAGCCCTGAGAGCAGGCCGGGGCAGGGGCTACTCGGACCCCAAGTATCGGCCGTCTGCCTACTACCCCGAAGAGAAACGAAACACCAACGGCAGGCGGCACCTCCAACACTCCGACTCGGACAGCGAGACAGACTCGGATGATGTCATCTGGGACGAGTCGGACACGACCGACTCGGAGTCCCGCGACCGGTCGGGCGCCATGACGGACAAGTACATCCCCCGGGAGCACCGCCGCCGGCGAAACAGGAGGGCCTCGACCAACTCCACCATCCAGGAGGAGCCGGAGCCCGAGGACAAGGGCGGCGACCACAAGGGCCACCGGGTCTACCCGATCATCGTCGAGAAGACATCGCCGGCGGCCGTCACCCAGCCCAAGCCCATCCTCAAGAACCGCAACGAGAACCACGTCCGGTTCGACGAGGACGGGCCCAGGGAGTACTCCCAGGAGGAGCTGGAGAAGGAGAGGGAGCGCAAGGAGCGCAGGGAGCGCAGGAGGGCCGAGAGGGAGAGGGAGGGCGAGCGACGCCGGAGGGACCGCGACAGAGCACGCGAGCGCGAGCGTGAGCGCGACCGGGACCGCGATAGGGACCGTGAGCACCGCGACCGCGATTCCACCACCCGCGAGCGAGAGCGGGACAGGCAGCACCGCGACCGTGATCACCACGACCGCGAGCGCGACCGCGACCACCACCCGTCGTCGTCATCGTCGCACTACCGCCCTCGTGGTGGCGAGCGGGAGCGGGAGCGGGACCGCACGGCCGACCGGGAGCGGGACCGCGAGCGCGAGGAGGCGCGCGACAAGCGCCGCGCCAAGAAGCGCGCCTGGGGCGAGACGCTCGGGGCCGTCGGGATCGGCGGCGCCGCGGCATCGCTGCTGGGCGTCCTCACCGAGGCTGCGTCCGGGCTGTGATGAGATGAGAAGAGAAATGCGACCATGGTTGCGCTGCGCTGCGCTGTGTTTGCTCCAGACCATGTATGTGGATGACATTGTATGGATAATGTGTGTTGTTGAAGAAGGGGTGGATGGATCGATGTTTGTTGTACGAAGTAAAGAGAAGCCATGTAATATGTATAAAGACGGGAAAGGAAAGAAAGGAAAGGAAGGGTTTCACGACGAATGAACGAGCGGACGAACGGAATACAGTACAGAGGGTAACGCATGTGTGTATGCGAGAAAACAAACACATGGGATGGAATTGCTTCTCTTTGGGCTGGCTGGAACGGAGAATCTGGAAGGGAAGGGAAAGAAAGATACCACTGGCTTTCACGAATGTCTGTCTGTCTCCTTCGTTGTTCTTGGTTTCTGTTTCTTTTTACATATATACCCCCAATGGTCTGTCTGTCTGCCTGTCTGATTGAATTGAACTTTTGTGTTCCTATCTACATAACTATCTTGAAACCAATCTGATGCTGCCACTGGGTGAGCTTGTGCACACACACACACACACACACACACACAGGTGCGCGTCTTCCTCCATGCTACGCTCCCGCTCCCCGCCCGGACGGCAAAAACATGCTGAATCTCGGAGGGACTCACGCTCCCTGCCCGACGACGACGTGATCTCGTCCTTCTGCCACTGCCGGGATACACGGGCTGTGGCTCTCTCTCATCTTACATGGGCGATGTTGAGCGCACGACATGACCCCAGCTACCCACACGGGCGGGTCCACGGTATTCTCATGAGCGGGCAGGACGAAGATGGCCGGACGCTGACCCCGCCCACCCCTGTGCGCGACGATGCCAGCCACATTGACTGGCTGCCCTTACATACCTAGGTACTGGCGCTGGTATCATTCAAGGATGTTCATCATTACCGGCTATGTATCCCCAGACTAGATAGATACCTCTAGCCCGGCCCAGCCAGCCAGCCAGCCAGGCGTACACCAGACTCCATGAAACAAGAATTAGCCAAGTGGTATGCAGGTGCCTCCCCCATCAAACATACAAGAAACATCATCATCGTCGTCGTCGCCGTCGTCGTCGTCGATATGGGGCCAGACCAAGATGATAAGCCATGGGAGCAGCAAAAGAAAAAAGAGGAGTATCTAGTACATCCCGACCGACCAACCAACCATCCCGGAACGAGGCGTCCGTCACCCCCACCTCACCTCGGCCGCATGCTCCTCCCACCCCCATAAGCCCGCCCCGCCGGCGCCGGCGCAGGCTTCGGCCTCACCACCTTACCACTCCCGCCCGCACCCGCGCCCGTCTCGCCCCGGAGCATCTTGCTAACGAGCTCCGCCTTGCTGATCTTGGCCTGCGGGTCGTCATACTCGACCTGCGTGCTGGGCGCCGCCGCCACCGCCACAGCAGCATCAGAAGCAGGGCCGCCGCCGCCGCCCTCCTCCTGCGACGAGCCCTCCCCGCCGATGGTCGCCGCGGACCTGCCCAGCGCGTGGCCGCCGCCGCCGCCGGACGAGTCGGTCGACGCGACCGAGGCGTTGCTTATCGCCCGGCCTATGACGTCGCGCCGCTTCCGCCTGGAAGCCGGCCTCGCGTCGTCGTTGCCGCCGCCGCCCGCGGCTGCGGGATCGCTGTTGTCGTCGTTTTTGCTGCTGGTGGTGTTCTCGGCGGCCGCTCCCGCTGCCGCCGCCGCCGCCGCGCCGGGGTTGGCGGGTGGTGCGCCGCCGCCGAGGAGCGAGGTCAGTCGTGACGAGAGGGCCAGGCGCTCCGCCTCCTCCTCCTCTGCCTTCTCGCGCCGTATCCTTTGCTCCTCGGCCGCCGCCGCCGCCTCTGCTTCTGCCTCATTGCCTGCTTCTGTTGGGCAGTCTGGTTTCGGGGTTGTGTTGTCGTCGTCGTCGTCGTCGTCGTCGTCGTCGTCGTCGCCCGCCTCTGAGTCGCACACCTCGCTGCGCACGCGTGCCAGGGGCTTGCGCGCTGGGGACTGAGGGGCGTCTCTGGCCGATGGCCTGTTCAGCTCGCTTGCCGACTTCTCGCCTAGTGGGCGGGATTCGTTTCTGGGGCCTGGGCGTGCCTCGGCCCGCTCGGGCGCTGGCTGGTCCCTGGGCTGGTGTGTAGGGGCAGTCTCAAACACCGTGGCGGCGTCGGACTCCCGCCTTGATGGCGGTTTGGCACGAGATAGAGGGGGCTCGGTGGACACGAGGGGCGTGGGGTCAAAGGCTGACATGTCTGGGCCCGGGAGGCTGGTCCTACCTGGCTTCTCGGTCCGTTCTGGTAGTGACTTTGGAGTCAACTTCTTGTAGGACACATCAGAAGTTGACTTGGATCTACTTAGTGGTTTCGATATTGGAGCCTTCTCCGTCGTAGTGGCCCTTTCTTTCAGCTCGGGAAACGTGAAAGGCTTGGTCGAGAGCCTCCTGCCCTGTGATACGCACGCCCAGAGCCACTCGGCCTTGACGATGGGGACTTTCCAGAGCAGAGCTAGGTCAAGCTTCTGTTTCCGGACGGCACCCAACGACACGCACAGCAGCAGGGAGACCTCGGCAGTGAACCGCTCCTCAAAGCGTGCCCCCAGCAGGCGGATCGTCTTGTCGACTTGCAGGAGATCGATGTCGGTAAAGCCAGCAGTGCATATGGAGAGCTTCTCAAAGCCCTGGATTGGGAAGACTGGGAACGGCCTGCCAATGACATGGTCTCTTGGATCCAACAAGGCCTTCCTGTGTAGACACCTCTCAATGAAACACTCTGTGATGAGTTCCGCACCATCTGGTACCAGTGGAACGGACTTGTGATCGGCGCTCTGGGGCACTATGACAAAGCGACGGATCATCCCCTCCGGCTTGGTGATCTCTGCCAAGGACCCAACCACCATGCCCCCCAACGATAAGACTGCGTTGATGAGAACGTCAGTCTGCCGTGGCGGGAACCCCGTGGCGAACAGACAGCATGAGGCAAACGTCATATCGCCCCTGTTGTCGGTGTTGCCGATCGATGAGTGCGAGCGGCTCATATCAACCGACTCGCTCACGCGCGACACGGACGCGTTAGATCGCAGGACCGAGCCGCTCGGCAGCGGCTGGGTGGGCTCCTCGGTCTGGTGAGAGGCGGACTGCTCGACGGAAGGCTGGCCCAGGATCTCGCCCCACATGTTGTCCCTCTGGCTGTTGAGCTTCATGCTCGCCGTCTTCCTCAGCTTGCGCCGTCCTTGCTCCTGCTTCGCCGCCGCCTCTCTCTGCCGCTTGCCGAGGGAAATGCGACGGGCCGCGCTCGCATGCTTGTTCCACGCGCCGAAGCCGCGCTCTTCCTCGGGGAGCACGGGGTCGAAGCACTTCTCGTCGAGGATCATGCCGCGCCCGACGGATTCGTATACCCAGTTGATGTCCACGACGTGCAGGCCCCAGTTCCTAGCGGCGAGGTACTTCTTCCCTTCTGGGCGGCGGGCGACCAGGTGCGTGACCAGCTTGCTGAGGTCGCCTGTGTATCTGCCGCCGTGTGACTTGATCATGTCGATTATCCGCTGGCGCTCGTCTTCTGGGGTCATGAGTTAGCCTTGGTCGTCGATCAGCCAGGGGTGCCTGGGGTGCCTGAACAGCCGCAGGGGAGCAGCCAACGTACGGTCGTCGAAGCCCGTCAGGCAGCAGATCAGCGAGTTCCTGGGCCCGGCCTCTTGGTTGTCGTCCAGCGCACCGCCTCCCGTCTCGAATGCCTTCAGACACCATTCCTTCTCGACGGCTCTGAAGTTGATCTGCTCGTCCTTGACCCAGAGGTTCCGCACGGCATCGACCCAGCCCATGGCCATGGCCTTGATATCGGGGCGTTCCTTGGCGACATGTCTGTACTTGGGGGTGTCATACTCGCCGACGATGAGGTGGGTGACGTCGGGGGTCAGGTCGTACTTGTGGGTGCCGCCGAGCTCCTCCGTCTTCCTTGCTATTAATGCCTTGGGGTGGGCAAGGCCAAGTCAACAACAGTCAACAACAGTCAACAAGGCCACAACTTACACGCAGGTCGGTGGGAATGCTCGTGCAGCAGACAACGACGCCTGCAAAGGGGTGGGCGTGGTCGAAGGCCTCGTCGCCGTGGTCTGGGGATGCTGGAGGCGACTCCATGGCCTTGGACGCGTTGGATTGGAAATAGTTACCCGTGCAGAAGCATGGGTTCAGTGTTGGGGTGGGGATTGGCTGAGCAACGGGTTCGAAATCGACCAGGTCGATGTGGGTTCACGGGTGCCTCGCCCAAGCACCAAGTCGCGTCTCGCTGCACAGTACGTAAACTAAACAGGCCCCTCCGAACCGCGTCTTTGTCCTGCAGAGGGGAGGGGCAGCACTGCGCTTAGTCAGCAGCAACGGGCAGCACAACGCATTCATCCCACGCCATTGCTCGAGTGCAAATACAAGTTTCTTATGACATTATTTCTGCAGCTTGAAACATTGAAACATTGAAACCCCGTCACGGATCGATATCGTATATTTACATGTAGGTTTCAGAAGACCATGAGATATATGAGCTACTGAGATTGCACTCATATTGTACTTTGCATATATCATGACAACAGACAACAGCCACTCCTCCAACACACGATTACCATCATTTGACAGTAAAGGCATATACACCTTGGCCATTTGTCACATAAACCACATTCTTGTCACTCTCCCCACGCCCAGCCGCGCAAGCCGTCGGCGCGCTCAGCTTGGCAACGACGACAGGTTTCGCACTTGCAGACCCGGCGGGGTCGAACTCAACCACCTGGTTCGCCCCGCTGTTCGTCGTGATATAGAGCCTGCCGTTGTTCCCAAAGCACAGGTCGTCGCCCATCAGGTTCGTCCAGAGCGTCGAGACGGCGCCGGCCGGCCTGGCCGCCGCGTCGACCGGCACCTTGTGGAAGCTGTTCTTGAATATGTTGGTGTACCACACGGTGCCGGTGGCAGCCTCGTACTTGATCCCGTCGATCCCGAACCCGACGGGCCCGCTGGGGGCCATGGTCGGGTCGCTGATGGCGACGGCGGACTCCCCCGTCGACACCGTCAGCCTCACCACGTTGCCCCTGCCCGCGTCCGCGAGCAGCACAGTGTCGTTGTCGAACACGGCGAGGCCGTTCATGTTCTTGGCGTCCGGTATCTTCTTGATCAGCGTCGCCTGCGGTGCCGCGCCGCCCGTGAAGTCGATCTTGTGCACCGCCGTGCCCTGCGGGGACCCGCCGATGACGACGAACACGTCCGGGGAGATCTCGCCGATCCCGCTCATGCCTGACGCCCCGCTGACGGCCACGGCCGTCGAGACCTTCTTGGCGGCCGGGTCTACCGCGTACAGGTTGGGGCTGTTCATGTTGGTCACGAGGAGCTGGCCGTTGGGCCGGACGGCGATGTTCTCGAGCGAGGCCTGCCTCACTATCTCTGTTGGGGCCGCCTGGCGGGCATTGAGAAATGCTGCCGCCGCGAACCCCTGGGCTGATGCAGAGAGAGCCAGGGACAAGCTTCCCAGCAGGCTCGTTGTAGGTTGGAACATTGTGTGAGCGTTGTGGTTGTGTGAATGATCTTTCCAAGTTTACTGAAAGTGAAGCAGCTATGTCGATGGACAATGGTAGTTCTGTTGTAGGTCTACAGGCTCTCTACCTAGGTCGGAGGTCGTGGGCGGTGCTCACTTCTAGATATTCAGTCTGCCGCTGCGGAGCGCGGTTAAATGCAGCTGCCACTTCATCAAATACTATGGCTAATCTTGACAGTCGGGCTAGAATGTCTATCACAAAACATGACCTACCGGCTTAGCAGTTACACTGACTAAATTGCCTTCTCTTACGCGTTCGGGGTCGGTGTGCCATCCTCCGACATGCTCAGCGCTTCATCGTCCTCGAGTGCTCTACTCGAAAGTACGCAAGAACCAGAAGCTGACCGCTGGAAGCACGTTGCTGGCAATGGTTGGGGAAATCTGCGCTATTGACCAATCCAGATTTACACTGTATGAGTATTACTAGGTGCAACAGGTGGAGAACATTGATGCCAATCGCTCGAAATTGGGTTGGAGGGCTATCTGCTTGTCTGGACTGCCAAGATCGTATAATAACGAGAATCACAGATCAATCCCCTTTGTTGTGAACATCAATCTAACCTTCGGCAGTACGACCGGCATGTTGTCAAGAAGAAAACTCTGTACAGCTGACTGACTCAAGTTGAGTGTAGGCGGACCAGTACCTAGGTATCAATGGCAGCTCCAAGTCCATTTGATTTGTTAAGATGGGATTTATGTACATGAAGTAGTGATCAGTCGATCAAGTGGACACCTCGACTCAAAACCAGCCCCTATCCTCTACAGTCATCTCGCGGCATGATCGGCCGCCTCAACGATGCTCAGGCCCGAGTCAAGCGGATAATTCCTTTCCCGAGGCTTCCCCGTGCACAAGGATTGTGTGAATGCAGACATAGACTCCCTCCTCATGTCCTATTCGCTCAACAGGTGAATCTCGGTGATTAATTCACGGCTGATGGAGACTACATTGCCATCGAGGGTCATCTGAACCTCTTTACAGGCGCACAACCTTGTACGCCTTGACGCCCGTGACACACTTGCGCGACTCGTCGGTCACCAACTGCGTGCACTCAGCGTCGGAGTAGAGCTGGACTGCACGAGCAGGGTAAGAATCAGCAAGTGTCTACCGAACAGCTGGATCTGCTCTAGAAACATTGAGGGCAGACCGCTTCTCGAGAGGGTGGGATGCTTCGATCGGATTGGGAGACTCACAGCCGAACAGGGGAGTCAGGGGAACGCCCGCGAACATCTGGAAGTCGGCGTTATCGATAGTCCTACAGTAGTCGAGGCTGCCCACGGCAAGGCTCTGGCCCACCGGGGAGACGATGGTGCTCGTCGTGCAGGTCGCGTTGGCGTCATACCACATCTGCAGCGTGCCATAGATGGTGGTGGCGCTGGCGGAGGCGGCCAGGGCCAGGATGCTGGTAAGGGCGGCGATCTGCATCTTGAGGTCGGTCGGTTCCGGTGAATGATGGATGGCTGGCTGGCTGGTATGTTGTCTAGGGAGGTTGCGATGGCTTGGGGTTCAGAGACAGACAAAAGACTCTCAGACGAGACATCCGCGTTCCCCTTTTATACCAATTCCGCGGTTCTCTTCAGCAGTCAGTACTTCATATATTCTGTGGAACCGGACGGGTCTGCAGCAGGGATCACGCTTGGCAGCACCGGCGGTGCCCTCTCCACAGAGCCTCAATGATGGCACTGCGGGCCCTTTTCCGCTCGTATTTGGGGTCGGTCAGGTAACATGGTGTAATGGATCCACCTGGAATGGTGCTTGATTAAGGTTATTCTATTTAAAGGTTCTAGAAGGGGGACTGATTCGGAAAGATCAATGCCATTTACGTATTTACCGCCCTACTTGTGCTCACCTCGGTACGCTCGGCACCTTAGGTCAACAAATCACAGTGACTGCAACCGACCGCTGTCAGTCGACGGACGGTAAGACCTCTCCCTCTTGTTGTACATTGAGATCATGGTCAGTGTCCCCAGGTCTTCCGAGTCTGCGTGAAGCATGGGCCCGCGGGTCTTTGCTACTGTGTCCCACATCGCAGCTGACCGCTCATTGGATTGTTTCATATGGGACTCGTATTTCATGAATTCTTCGATAAACCAACCCCCTTTACGAAACATCTTATGATTTAGACATGCTGGGTACTTCAACCTCGAGTGAGCCGTCTTAGAAGATTCTACAAGCCACTAGACACCTATTCAACAGTGTGACCATTATTCGGGTCTCGTGGCTTCCTTACTACAAGCCCTTCACCAAGATCGTTGCCAATTGAAAACTAAAGGGACGACTCTCAGTCATGCTATCTGCATAAGAACGATGGGGTATGTTGCATGCCTTTCTCCATCCGTAGCATTGATAAACGAGTTTCGCTGCACAATAACTAGGTACCTTGTAAACCCCTGGTGTCGCAAAATGTCGGGGTCTATTCTGTTATTGTCTATCTAGAGCAAAAGTCCGAGTCGATAAATTTGTGAGTGGTTGGGATCACGGCCAGCCATGAAATCTTTACAGCTCTTGGGCTACTGATATGAGACGGAGCCTTTCTGTAACATCACTTCTCACTGCCCACGACCCTTCCTGCGGATCCCAAAAGCCCTCATGATAGACTCCCGCTGCGCGTCAGTCGTGAAAACCAACTCGGCCGGCCCCTTCCCCTCGGCAGACCTCCCGACCAGCCCGGCCCGGCACTCCTCCTCCGTGGCCCAGACGTAGTCCTGGTGCTCGTTGGGGTCGAGCCTCACGGCAGACGAGTCCCGCACCTCGACGACAAACGTAAGCTTGAAGATGAGCCAGCCGCGCGTGGTGCGGAACACGGCGCCCGCCCGCAGGCCCTCGCCGTCGCCGACGCACGCGACGAAGCGCCGCACCTCGAGCCCGCTCTCCTCCCACACCTCGCGCGCCAGCCCGCCCACGACCGTCTCGTCCGCGTCGACGGCGCCGCCGGGGATCTCCCACCTGTTGGGCATCGAGTCGTGCGGCGCGCGCTGCACGAGCAGCACCCGGTCTGGCTGGCCTGCTGGGTGGTGCGTGCTGAAGATGACGGCGCCGGTGGCCAGGCCTTCTAGCTTTACTGTGGGGTTGTCGTTCAGCCTGGAGAGGTAGTCGTGGATGAGCATGTCGTAGCCTGACAGGGCTGGCTCTAGTGTGAAGTCTGCTGGGGGAGGCGGTGGAGGGGCCATGGTGGGTTGGCTGCTCTCGTTGTCTTTTTTTCAATTTGTCTTGGGTATAGCAAACGGAGAAAAGGGCGTATTCGAAAAGAGATCTATGCATGTGGAGTTATCATTGATGTATGAGTAATCTCGTTGCGCCTGAGGCTGACTGCTAGGCAGAACAGATGATACTGGATGAAGTCTTTCACCTGGCATAGTCAAATCGGGTCCTCTCATTAGCTGCAATGCTGCTTAGTCAGCAGAGGGACTGCCTTCCGTTTGAGTGTGTGCGAATATCATAATCCATGAATAATATTTCATTATATCCGTGGCCCAATCAGGCAACTGTGTATCAGTACCGTATTGTCTCTCAGATCTATGTGCGTTTTGACAGCGGATACGAAACAAATCACTTGCTACAAAGTCAATGACCCCATAAACAGTTCGGGTGCGGCTCGTTGACGTAGGTGAATCTGCAGCTGTTGTAAGATAAGGCGACGATGAGGACACTTTGGTAATTTTTCGGCCTGATGACGGTTTAGTACCTGGTCGTCTACGACATTTTGCTGTTGATGGGTGCATATCGTTACTACAGAAACCAGCCCCTGATTGTGCTGAATATGTTTCCCTGGTGCCGAACTCCATTGGGGTTGGTGCTTGACCGACGCGCTGGGCTTTCTCAAGTTACGTAAGTAGTGTTAGAGTTTGTTGCTTTCGCTGGAATCCTGGATCTCGTTCTGGGATGGACTCCTTTCGAAATGTCCGGCAATAGCGAGCAGGGAAGCACGTTACATACAAGTGCAAATCAATGACTATCATGACGAGCCCAGACTAAATTATAAAGGGTTTCATACAGCATAATCCATTTGTGCGGCGCGAGGACGAGGCCATATTTCCACAGCTTAAATGTGCTGTAGTCTCCCATTATATCAATGTTTTCCCAAAAGCGAAGCTTAGTTTTTCAGCGTGTACCACTGTACATGTGAATCGACCATGCGCCTTCGGGATGTACACGGACGAAGACCATGGCCACATATAATTAGCCTAATCTATGGATTTCACTGGCTACTTCCATTAGGCATTTCAAAACATGAAATGACATATAAGACCCGTTAAGTCTTAAGCTTAAAATTTGCACTTGATCATACTTAGTACCTATATACATTATTCTTGAATCAACAGATACATAAGTACTCTTATGCAATGATTCGCAGGTTAATATGAGAACTCCTCGAGCTACAGAATCATCTGTGTACGTCTGTTGCGTATTCTCTTTCAATCGTCAATCTTGTAAGTGGGCTCAACCTTTCATGCAAGGATCAATACTATACCGTCAGTAGCGGGTAGCTCTAAATCGTAAATACACTACTTAACCACTATTTAAAGCACTTAAATGATATAAGTAATGTGTGACGGTACGGCACCGTTGGGCCTTATATACTGCTTGGTCTTCCACTTCCAAGTGTCGACTTGAAATTCTGGTCTTTTGGCCGAGCGGTCCTTCTTGCAAGCAGTAGTTGGATTCGTGTCATAATGAGCCGAACCCGTGGACTGCTACGCCACAGACGCCCCGGCCAAAAGACTATAATTCTAAGTTGCCCAGACTTAGAATCTAACAGTTATTCACTCATACCGTTATAAGAAAGTAATAGGAAATATAACTATTTATTCTTCTAAATAATTTACACTTAATTAATAATTTAAAAATAAGTATATAATTTAATATTAATATACCTCCTTTAGGTAGTATTTATATAATAGTATTTCTCTCTCTTCTAACTTTATAAATAAATTAATATAATTATAAATAAAAATTTTAAATTTAAGAAAACTTAAAAAGATAAAGGAGATTTTATAGTAAAGTTAGAAAGAAGTTAAAGATATCTATTATAATAAATTAAAAAGAAATTTAATTTTATATTAAAAGGTTTAAATACCTTTATAAAAGGAGTACTTTTTTATACCTACTCTTAAAATATTTAAACTACTTTAATCTACTTATTCATTTCAAACTATTTAAAAGAATAAATAGTTATATTTCCTACTACTCGCCCATATAGTTTAGACCCTCCCAACCTGAGTGTATAATCCGTACTGTTGTACATACTTGAAGTTATCAAAGGCCAGGACAAGACCATCATTCGCACCATCCTCGGCTTGCGCGGCAAAGGTTATACTCGTCAACCAGGGTTGGCTCCATATGCATGGGAAATCGAAGCTTTGCATCGCTGCGGCATTGAGTGGAAGCCCAAGGAGTGTTTTTGCAGGTTCTATCTTGAACGTCAAAGTCTGGACATCCGAGTCGCCCGCTGAGTAGTAATAGGGAGCCCCTGTAACGTTGACGATGACTGGGCTACTTGGAGCCGAGAGGCCGCCCAGCAAGTTTTTCGTGAAGGCGCCTAGGAAAATGGACTCAGGCTGGAATGCGGGGAACCCAGCCGACATACCATCGCTCTCAGCCATGATGACAGCTGGTGTGCTTGCTGGAGAATTGGGCACTATGGCGAAGCTGTGAGGTGTAAAATGTCAACGAGATGCGACTCAATGCATGTGGGACTTTCTGGCCTGAGACCCAGATGTTGCGTACTTCTTGCCTTGTGGGAGCAGGAACTGCGAAGCGGGGGAAGATGTGACGGCGTAAAAGCCCTGCCACCTCAGGCGGCCGTATCCGTTTGGGACAGGCTTGCTCAAGGACGCTGTTCCGCTGCCCATCGCTGGCACGTCTTTTATGCCTTCGAACTAATGATTGTCTTGTCAGAAGGATGGGTCTTGTACAATTAGTATGGCAAAGTAATCTCTGGGAGCACTTGAGACTACATGGTTATTCGCCTTACTCCAGATTTCGACCAGTAACACCCAGATTCGGGTTCTTCACTTTGTGATTTAGCCTTTGGTAGGCCACTTATACCAAGAGCAATTCCATAAATGACAGAAGCTGGAAAATGCATATCGGCTGTCTGCTGCGCTCTGCTTGCGAAGCGATCGGCGGGTTACTGGAGGCGGCAAGAAATGGGCAGGATATATCAAGGCGAGGTCAAAACAGCTCAGAAAGAGGATAGGGCAATACGGCCTTCTTTTATAAGGAAAAGTCTCATTCATAGTTCTGATTTAAATCGCCTGGGCTACTCAGCTACGAGTGCTGCTACCAAGTCCAACATGTGAGACATTGTGCTGTGAAGGTATGAGAAGATATCTAATAAACCGCCGTTTTGCTTGAATATTCGTTAAGGGACACCAGGTACATGTTTCGAGAAGGGAGAAATTCTAAAGAGAGTGGAATGGAAAAGGCAAGCTGGTGTTTAGGCTTCAACACTATTGGTCCGCCATGTCTTATTATGACAACTCGTATTGTAAAAGGGGACATCGTGGGAGTTCAAGATGCCGCTCCCTCGCTGCCTGGTTTCATATCATAGCCTTCGTAAACTAAAAATCCAATGTATTTTCGACTAGATAATGTGACACGGTTTATTCGAGAACTTTCTGATTAAGTGACGATATTCCTCTGCTATTATGGGAGTGAAAACGACCAATGTATATCACCTTCTGTTTTTCTTTTCTTAATGTCAAGTCTTTGAGCGTCTACCACCATATGAAGGGACCGCATGGCAACGGGAATTATACGGATTAAGAAGGGGGCCACTTAGTCCAGCCATGCTGCTATTCTAGGGTATCCTTCTCAATGAACCCTTTCACTTTTGGTTTCTATTTCTATGTTCTCGCCGTTCTTTTACATCGAATGCAACTTTGGAATGAAGGTTCTCATCGTAATACCATCAGTCCGGGCCTCTCCCTGATTTCGCCGGGCACTGAGACTCCGTGGGGCTCGACTGTACTGGTGAATGTTCGGTATTGTCTTATGAATTTCGAAAGAGGGTTATTGTGTTAAAACAAGTGTGATGTAAATTTTGTCTCATCATGCCCACTCATGGTATGGAGCCATCGTTTGTGCTTTGTGAATGTGGCTGTCCCATACCGAATCCATCGATCATCGGGACCATTTCATCGCCAATGAGCCTAGGTTCCATTATGTCTGATAGCTGCCGTAAGCTTTCCAGATTCAAGCCTTCTGAAGGTACCGAAAGACCACATCGGTCCACGCGGCCGGCTCCGTCGTGGTAATTACTTCGTAGCCGGCGAGTCGGAGCTGTGAAATGTTCGACTCCTTGGCGGCGGCCAGCTTCCGTATGGCCCCCACTGTCTCATCCACCATACTACGGAATCAGTGGCGAGGCGGCGAGAGTCCATTGGTAGGACTGGAGAATATGTGTCATATGTGACGGTCACCTTCAAACCCAGGCCAGGGATAGCCGTCGGGCCCGCCGAATTCGACTCCAACCACAGCTTTGGCCGAGTCTGTCAGGTGTGGAGGAATCCAGTCTTTGATGGGCTTGAGCGCCAGCGTTTCGAGGTCAGAATATACGCTTTGCCCTCAGCAAAAATGACTATGTAAGTAGCAGAGAAATTCGGTCTTAAATCCAGGATCTTCAAGCGTATGTTACACTTGAATAATAAAGGAATTTCCAGAGAGACTGACGTTCACGAAACCGCCTGCTGCCTTTGCGAAACCGGGGTTCTTGGCCAACCACAAGCCCGTATAGGCCAGTGATTGTCATATCCTATCAACCAACGTCGATTCCTAGCCAACACGGATCAGGCTTTTGGCTGCATGGACTGACCTCTGGACTAAGTGCGCATGGTGCAGGCACATTGAAACTTGCTGGGACGGAGAATATTTGCGAAGTTTTGTTCAGAATACTCAAGTGCTCGATTTGTCCCACCGCTCTTTCTTTCCCTGATTTACATGGACATGAAGGTGAATGGTGGGGGAGAAAGCATTCTCATCATCATGATGAAGACGAGAACTACCAAGAAACTCGTCGACACTCTCCGCCAGGCGCAAAAATGCCTTGGCGGCGTTGAAATTCTTACCAGCTCCCTCAATGATTCTCAGGAATGTTTCTACCGCCGATTTGAAACACAATTTCGTAAACTTCACATGCGAGTGTAACCGGATAGAGTGGTGGGCGTGCCGTCTGGCCGTCTGAGAAGCGGGAAGCCGTGCCGGAACTTTAGAAATGAGACAAAACGAATACTTCGAACTTCTTTCCGCACCGAGATATACCCAAGACTGCTCAAGTGCTGCAATGTCTTGAGGATCACTAACGCTGAAGACTAAGCCAAGTCCCTTTCCACGCAAAGCCAGACTGTCTGACTGTCCAGGGCAAAATGAACCGCTTCCGATTGCTTTGCCAGAAGCAAGACACAGTTTGACTTTTGGGCGGCCAAGAAATCACGCTAATCGCTCCTCTATGACACCGCGTTTGTCGCCGCCTCGTCTGTCTCCATCGTCCATCTCATATGAGTCTCCGCGCATAAGTCGGTGGTTATTGCTAGCCACCCCAATCGCAGTTGTGCGACCCCGGGGATCGCCGCATTTAAAGATGGGTGCAGTGGCGCTGATGATCTCCCTCGGATTGAGCATGCCGATTTACGCGTATAAACTGGAAGCCTCCCCGGTAATGCTGGTCCCAAGAGCCCCCAACTTCAGGTTTTACCTGCTTGTCGACGATGTACTGCCAGTGTAACGCTGTAATGGAGGGACGCGAAGAACTCCACCATCATGATGATGCAGTTCAACATGGAGTGTGCGCCAGCGACCACGTCGGCGATGCTTATCTTGCTGTCTGGCTGAAGCGGTGATGGGTCGAGTCCTTAGACTATGTTAGGGATGATCTGAGAGACACAGGGGCCGTGTTCATGCCATGGCGCGAATGAAGGCGGACTGGGCGCGGTCCCTGGATTGTGAATGATCAAATACTCATATTTATCACGACTTGGGTAAGTTTAAATGGACAACTTTGGCATGGTATTGAATGCTGCGGTGCCACAAGGGCAAAATAGCCTCCAAGTGCAGACCAAGAACTACCATCCCTGTCAGCCAGAAGGGCCATTCCATTCTCATCTTTCGGGACGACAACCTATTTGAGATCACGCCGCCTTTGTGTGCACAATTTGTCTATTGTATTTGACTGGTAAGATTTAGCAACCTGGTCGCCATCGTTCAAGACTATGTTGGCGCCAGCCTGAACGGTTCTGCGCTATAGAGCCTCGGTGCTGCTGGCCACGAAGCTATCATTTATGCTGATGTGCCGGCTCAAGATCCAACAGCAGGGTTGGTTGATGACGCCGTAAAACGCTTCGGCCAATACTTCATATTCATCAGATTTGAAAGCTGATTAGCCTGGTTTAGCACAGTTATATTCACAGTTGCATTGTCGTTTGCAGTGAACGTTTACGACATTTGTTACTCAGTTGTGGACATGGGTGACGTCTCGTCAATACCTGGGTAAATAAGACACACGTTGGTATCAGGGGTTCAGAGAAGGGGTATCAGAACAGCCCCGTGGTCTTTCCATATGTCGTACTGCGAAGCTCAAGTTGCCATTTTCGTACCCAAAGTCTAACGCGTTGAGTTTGCTTATCTTGCTGCGGCATCTCTATCTAGGACTCTCCCTGTTTAGGTCTAGCCCACCAAGTCATGGTGCATGGAGGATGAGTCAATCCCTCTGCGCGATTGCGTACACCATACGATGTACAGCTATGCTTTGGTCACACATCTCTAGGAGACAATAAATGGCTTGTCCCAAGTCTCAATTCATTGTGTAACGGAGTAGGCTGTCGCTGTACAGGCGAAAGTGCCGTAAGAGATTGCCGATGTCCTCGAACATTTGATTGTATCAGGGGAAATTGACAGCATGGAAGCAACAACCCTCAACGGCTCGAGCATTTCTGTGCCTGGGCCATCCTCAGACGGCCAGATACCTGTGCGTCAAAATCAAGTCCCTATAACGATTGGCACCTCTACGGAGTATCAGCACCGCCTATCAGATATCTCTGCACGTGCTACGACTCAAGACCGATTAAACACCCTCTTTCAGTGGGAGAAGACCGGGCCATCCGTACCCTTTACAGTCGATCAGCAGTACGAGGCTTGCATGATACGTATCAGAAGCAAGATCGCCGGAGGAGCATTCATTGTCGAGGCTGCAGGCTTCGCAGCCGTCGCGTGCTGGCAGCCGCCCGGGAGCGTCCCGCCCGACCGCACTGAAGAGCAGCTTGAGGAATTGTCTCAAAGGACACCGATCTACGCGAAGTTCTTGAAAGAATATGAGGAGACCAGGCGGGGGCTCTTCGGAGAGTCGCAGCAGTTTTGGTTTTTGACTCTGATGGCGAGGGACCCCGAGCGGCTCGACAAAGGGGCAGTCAGGGCCGTCCTCGAACCATTTGTCGCCGAAGCGCGGAGCAAAGGGCAGCCGCTCTGGCTGGTAGCAGGCAATCAGAGGGCGAGGGATGTTTACAGCTACTTTGGGTTTCGGGTTGTCAAGGTGCTCATGAGCTATCCGACTGATAGAATGAAGGCAGAAGGCGTGTTGAGTGAGAAAGATATGGAGGGGGTGCCAACATGGTGCATGGCGGCAAATTGGCCGGTTGCCGAGGTGAATTGAGCGAAGGACGGCAGAAACGTGATGGCAGTCTATATTCAGACGTGTTGCTCTTACATGGAGTTATGTGGCGATAGAAACCAACGCGGGACTGTTTCTAAGGTTATTCATGATGAAAAGAACTTGAACGTCCGTTTAAACCGTTGGGCATAGTAGTCTGAACTTGTGGCCACATGCAGGTGCCAATGAACCACGAAGGTGAACATGGTTCACCTGCGGGTCGGCCAAGAAACGCGGTGCAGACTTCGGCGCGTGATGGCGGTGTAGTCTCCGCCGAAAAAAATTGGCTGAGATGCCATTCACTCGGCTGCAGCGCCAGGCTCGCTTCAGAACAGGCAGGCGGACCGGGCCGATCTAGGCTTCCACCCAATTATTCGACCATCGCTGATGTGCATACGGCCGTTGTAGATGTCATCTGTACGTTGAGATATGTGACAGAAAAACCGGGTCTGACAAGCATCTCCCACCAGGGACCAGCTCCTTCTTACGAGCAACCTTCCCTGATCGGGAGATGTCTGCGAGGCAGGATAGAAACCCGTGATCATTTGCCAGAATTTAGAAACAACCTCATTTCTTTGGCGGTGAGCTGCCCACAAGGCAATCGAGGGATCTCCCAAAGGTGCGGCCGTTGAGTTCCACTGCGGATCTCGATGGGTCCTGGTGCCCCATCTTCAACTGACCAAAATGCCGTATATTCAATCGGCATCTACCAACACTCTTTCTTCATCAATCTCCAAGTATATTTCGAAAGGCGTTGTTTCATGCCAGTATCCTTTTTTCTCGGTTTAATGCAATGGGTTAGATGCCAACTTCGGGTGAGCCAATGGGAGTCAGCGGGGGCAAGCAGTCAGAACATACTCCTGGGCCATCAAAAGTCACACTGAACCTCACTGGCGCTGAGAAGACGGTGTTACCGATGGTGTTCTTCAGGTCGATGGATGCTCAACTTCCAGATCCTGTGCTCGGTGACACATATTCCAAAGCAATTCTGGACAAATGCGAGATCGATTTAAACGACGACCATTTCATCAAAGATGATCGCTTCATCGAATACGTTATGAAAAGGACGAAGCATTTAGACAATTGGTGTCAAGTATGTTTGAACCGATGAAGGGGCCATCTCATCATCACGGATCTTAATCACCCTTAACGCAAACATGCTAACATCAGATCCGTTCCAGGAGTTCATAAACGCACACCGAGACGAACCTATCACAGTATTGCATCTGGGCTGCGGTCTTGATTGTAGATATTTGCGTTTAAGGACAAGCCCCAATGTCCGATGGATCGACGTCGATCAGCCTTGTGTAGTTGAAGCACGTGCTCGCCTCGTCCCTCGTCCACAGGGTGATTATATGCTCCGAGCGCTGCAGGTCACCAGACCGGGCTGGCTGAAAGACCTGCCCAACGACAGGCCGACTCTCGTAGTGGCAGAGGGCTTGTTCCCCTTCCTGACACCCGCCGAAGGGAAGAGAGCCATCCACGATGTTGTCAGTTACTTCAGCCGCGGCGAAGTCATAACTGATCATGTCAGCCCCACCGTTGCACGGCTGTCAGGTTCGATCAAGTTTCTACGGACGAGCGGGTCGAGGTTTCAATGGGGCGTGGGTGATCCCAGGAAGGAAATTGAACCCCTGCATTCCAAATTGGCATTGAAGGGGTGCCTGTACTGGCGTGACTTGATGGAGGAGCATCCGCCAATTTTTGGAGGAACAATGACGAAGATGATGGGAATATTTTTACCTGGATGGAAAACGAACCTAAAGCTTCTTCGATTTGAATACAAAGATATTGATGGTTGAGGTTCATTGCGCGTAGACCGATGGTCATAAACACCTATAGCATTTCGGCCAAGTTGCCGATATCCGGGCTCGTCTCACTTTCAGCATGCTTTTAGCATCATATTGTCCATCTTGTCATCACTTCGGATATTTCAAGAGCTTCACTGGCAGTTACTGAGTATCTTCTCATGTCAGTCCATATTACTGGCCACTGTAGCCAGTCCTGGATACAAATCGCTCACTGCTTTGCTCGTCACTTGGGACATTTGCAATCTTCACAGCGAATGACTCGGAGTGCCGTTCATTCTAAATACATTGATGCTTTGAGAAGATACCCAAACAGCCGAGTCTCCGCAAATACCGGGTCCACGCTGTCCATCTCTGCTCAGACGTCGGAAGGCTTTCTAGGTGTGGGGATTCTGTATTCAAACATGAGCGCTTGTGATAGTTACCGGACTCGAACATGGCGAGGGAAGCAGTTATTAGGCCGAATGGCATCTGGAGTCCGCTACGCCTCCCACTTGCAGGTCGATAGGGCACTGGGTGTATGTGAAAGGACATCATCCAATGTATTCGGCATACTTGAGCAGCCGGGAAGATAGGAGCATACGGCCATCTGCCCATACAATTCCAGAACTTGAGAATGCTGCCTCTTATCATATAGGAACCGATGGATCCCGGACAGCTGGGGGGTTTCGCTTCTCTCGTTTTCCTACCGAGCAGTTAGCATAGACTGGCACTTAATGCGATACTTATCTTCTCCAAACTCCCCAACAAGAACCAGAGGTAAGTGGCAGGCAGAAAATTAGCAAAGTCATTTCCCTAGCATTTTGGCGCGCATTACGAAATGAATTGCTGAATCTTTTAAGGTGATATCGCTTCAAATCACCTAGGCAGTGACCCATACTACAGGCCCGGTTCATTTGTCACCTTGGCTCTCACCCAAATGAATAAAGAGACAACTTCAATACATTCAAGGTTGCCAGCGATCGGGGTTAGTGGGTTTCAAGTGGACTTCAGGGGCTAACTATCCGCGTCGGGCAATAAATATAAAGCACAGCAGCCTCGCGCAATTTGGATCTTAACACAACACCTCTGCATCTGTCTCGTGAGCCCACAAAAGCAATTTCAAAATCAATTTTCCATCACCGTATAGACTCTTCCAACACCGCTCATTGTAGACATTGTACCCCAGATGATTGATTCTGAGAACCTTTACAAAATAAAATCAATTTGCTTTGCGTCCGCGGCACGAGGCTGAGGCCACGTACCCACGTACTGTATTCTCTCTGCACTGTTATTGGCACTGTATCTTTTTTTAACGCTGGGTCTTGAGCGTTTACTACTGTCTGAAGGCGCCACATACGTTTTATATGTATGGGGATGAAACGAAACCACCTGGGCACCACCCTGCTTTGCGTCCGTCGCCGACATGCAACGATTCCGTGGATGCAAGACCTGGCAGATAGCCCTGTTCGGGTACTGAATACCTTCATAGGCACCATGACGGACCGGAGAACCCCACTCTTTCTCTTCGCCCCCACCGTCTCGCGCATCGTTCAAAAAGTCTACTGCGGGTGACCAAGTCAAGCGTATTCGTCGTCGCTTTCATCAAGTGTACTCCTCGTCTGTGGCCGTTGAGCCTGTCGCCGTGGCCGGGGAGGTTGTGGAGGGGGCAGCACTGCCCTTGGGGGCCTGTCTTGAGCCATGAAAGCGAGTTCAGGTGCACGTGTCACAGCTGGATCTGGATACTGGAGCTGTTCTGGCCGCTGAAGGTGGGAAACGTGTCTCGCCCGATCTCCTCCGACCCACTCATCATCGGATTCGATTTTCGTACCATATCTTTGAGAATTATTGTTAATCGGTGGGAGGTCCCACTGTCTCAAGCGGATCCCCTGGTACCCAATTCCGAGTGCGTCTGCGTTGGTGAGTAACCAGTTACGAAGTATCCTGACAAAATACAGGGCGTCGTTGATTCGACGATTTTGCTCATCGTCATCTCGTGCTGTGTATATGAATGTCATATGTATGGTAAGGCGATCTCGCGGGTTTATCCGAACCATGTTCTCGACCCAGGGTGCATAAGAAGCGTACTGCGTGAACTGATCTTGCATTGTTGGGTCCTGAAGAGAGTTAGTGGACTTTCAGCTGCTAGGTAAATACGGACGTGTCTCGAGGTCTCTGTCAAGAGGGTCATGCGTTGATCAGAGGTTGACCTCGGTATTCACTCACAAATACCCCGTCAAAGTGCCAGGACGGTGCCTGGTTCCGGAAGTTGAGGCGCAAATGTTGCAACCTTGGCAAGTCATTCAGTGTTCTCGCCAGATGACCTAAGCGGTTGACGCCATCGGTCCAACCTATCGTTCGGTCTGCAGAATTGCTTCTTGTCGATTCCATTGCTTCGAAGTTGTCACTTTGCGGGTTCTCTGGGTCCTCGGTCTGCCACATGTCAAATTGGAGTGCCTGGATGAAGGGCCGGCTGAATCGCCTATGCCTGAAAAAGGCCTCTGCTGCCAAGATGCTATGAATGACTCCAATATCTTCTTCTATTATGTTTTCGTCTCTCATCACAGTGAAAGAAAACATTTGAGAAAAGAATATCGGAGCTGCCTCAGAATACATCTCTCGGCTCGCTAGGAGCAAGCTATATCTGTCATTCCCCTATAGTCCTTGGAGTTAGCTGTGAAATAACTTTGGAATCTAAGAGGTAGCTTTGTGCCAATACGACAAAGACTGGGTGCCAATGTGACTGTCACCTTAACGTAACCTTCAGCGCATGAAGATTTCGGTGTCGAAGCTGAAGACTGTACATGTTTATTGTAAAAAGGAAGCGACTGTATGCAAAAGCCGCTTACCAATGACTGGAGCTGTTCGTCAGTGGCTGCTGACTCGTAGGTAAAGGTCGCCATCTCCCTCATCCAAGCAGGTGTGTCGCTAACTGAGAAAGGAACTTCGTCCTCCGGCAACCTCGCAGGGTCTATTCTGCGCCGCCGAGGCCGACTTCGTGGTAAATAGTTGCGCCGAAGCCGGTTCATGTTGTTCTCATCTTCCCTCTCCTGGCGGAATCTTGTGGCCGTGATTGTTCTGATTGGTTCCGTGAGTTGAAAATAAGCCTCGTAAATCATATTGCGAATCTCTGCTGGAAATAATTCTTGGAAGGGTAATTCGTTTAAACCCCGGGAAACATAAGGTCGTGAAGGGGTGGGCTCAGGGAGGCGAGGTGGCTCAGGGGGGCGAGTTGGCCCAGGGGGGCGAGTTGGCCTAGGTGGGCGAGTTGGGCGAGTTGGCCCAGGTGGGCGAGTTGGCTCTTGCTGTCCAGGGCTGGTCCGCTGAGGACCAGGCGCAGTAAGTGGCGGCGCATTGATTCGCTCAGTGTAGGGAGGCCGGTCCCCACAGACGCAGTCCTCATGAGCGGCCTCTACTTGCCGAGCCTTGTTTACGAGGCCGGACAGCTTCTTTAGCAGGCCTTGGTTGCTGTAGTCTCTCTCGGGGACATTGTTGTTACAGGGCACGGTGGTTGTCGGGCACAAACAGGGGTCGCATAGGCAGGACGGATCTCTTCCGCCAGCTACTGAGAGGCCGTCGGCTGACTCGATGCTGTTTTGGAGTCTATCGAGGCTTCGGACAACATTCTCGATGGTAGGAGGTCCCGTGTTACAGATACATATATGCGACATGATGTCGAATTGTAAGATGGGGCTTCGCTATTAGCAGTATTGTAATACACACGCAAACGAATCAGATATCAAGTCAGGCCTCGGAGCCTTAATAAAAAATTTGGTAATTCCATGTGTGCGATGGAGCTGGTTCGTGAGTTCTGGAGCTATGTAAACGTACTGTAAGTCATGCTATTAATGCGGGCACCGTTTGCGGTCAGCGCTGTCAATGAGTCCTGAAGTTGAACAATGGTTACAGCTGTCAAGCCCACCGCTCCCGTCCCTAGAATCACACACCAAGCGGCCGTCATTTAGATCAAAGAGTTCCTATTTTTTGTTTTGTTTTTTGATTATCTAATTGCAAACAAGCCATGCCGAACAATTGCAGACCTTTCAAGTTGGGAAGAGCTTCCACATGCAGACTTCGATGGATCTACACCATATTCGCGCATTCATGCTCGCTGTCCGTTTCATATCCTTCAGATGTTAAGTGAGGCCGGTGGAATGTGTCAGGGCTGACATTAATAACCGACAGCTTACTGGTAGATCGGTTGATGCTCACCTCGCCTACGTGCCATGGTCCGTGGATGCCTCGCGCCGTTTGGGCCTCAAGATGTGTGTCGTATAGAAGTGGAGACAGGGTGCTTTGAGACTCACGGGTAACCATGAAGTGCCCCATATCAGGTGGATTTGCAGCTGGTGCAGTAGACAGAAGGTCGAGGAGACGTGTGAGATCGGGTAAATGTGAGGCTGAGCCGTGGGCCAACCTGTTCAATTCGGGCTCAATTATCTTTTCCAGGAATTGCTTCAGTTCTCTCTGCAAGCCTCCGCCCGGCTCAAAATCAAGTAGGTCGGAAACATCAAGCCAGACTCGACGTAGCAAGCCTGCGCCCGGCTCAAAATCAAGGAAGTCAAGGAAGTCGCAAACATCAAGCCAGACTCGACGTATATCCATGACTAGGCCGAAGCGGGCACCTGCTCTTGCTCTGCCCCATGTTGACCTCCCAAAATCACCCAAGACGAACCGCGGCCCAGCGGAAATATCCTTGTCGTTCCAGTGCAGGAAAATGTTGCCCCAATGCAGGTCTCCATGAATGACAAAGGGCTTCATCGAGTACATGAAGTCAAGAGCCTGACTAAGATCTCGGACCATGGTCAATATCAGAGATGGCGGCGGCGGAAGGTTTTTGGTAGTGCAAGCGTGCCAGAAATCCTCCAAGGTACCTCCGTTGTAATAGTCGTAATACTTGACACGATGGTATAGTAATTCTTGACCTTCCCGCTTTTGTGGTGTTGGTACCTCGTCGGCTGATTGTAGATGCGAGATACTTGGCTGCACACCGCGTTCGCGAGCCTGTGACTGTAATGCAAACAGGACTCGTTCAGGATCTTCCCTATGTATCTGATCCTCGTTTAACAGGACGTTCCCTACCTTACGGACGACCAACTCACCTGTTTGCACATGAAGAACGAGCTGTGCGATCGCGTCTGCTCCACTTCCTATAGTTTTTATCAACAGGTACTGATCTTCTCCGTCTATAAAAAGGTGACCGAATTTTACCTCGATGGGTTCCATTATGGGGCTTGTTTCGTTAGGACGTACTGTGCTCAGACGTGGTGTGTTTGGATGCTCGTGGTGATAGTCCCTGTTTATCCAATGGCAGCAACCCGTCTCACGATCCTCAGTGTGATTGATGCCTTGTGCAAAAATGGGGGATATTAATAAACATGTAGGCATTCACCGTAGTCAATGAAACAAACAGCCATCTTTTGATTGTTGTTACACAATGACGGCGCCCATTCACAAAAACAAAAAGAACAATGTCACAAAGCGAACGTCCGAGCTCGAAAGCGGAAAACTTAGTTAGCGCTGCGGTACGAAGTCTCTTTTTATTCTTAACGGGGTGCTGTCAAAGCGCTTTCAACAAGGCTATTGTCGGTGCCTTCCCTTCACTGAGGTCTTGAAAGCGTTACTAGCGGGGAACTATAAACTAAATCCAAGTTCGACTGCATGTTTTGAGGTTGCCACTATTGTGATGCAACCCCTTAACTTACTAAGTAGTCTTGGATCAACTTTCAGCTCACATCTCATCCGACTCTAGCTCATCACACTCGCAGCCTGGAAACCAATTACAAAGATGCCTGCACCCTCTCGAATTACGAAATTCTGTCAGCTTTTCTTAGATGGGGATGATCGGTACGTGTTCTTCACCACCCTGGCCAATGGAGGTACCTCACAGGCCCAGCTTGTTCTTCACATACCAACGAGCGAGCTGCGCGTGCGTAAAGTGACCCACCTCCCTCTTGACCGCGAAGCGACGAGAAAAAAGAACAGCGAGGAAGTGCTCTTCTTGCTGCAAGAGCAGGCGGCCAAGCAGGGAGCCCAGCCTCACATTAGCCATCTGTACTCGTCTAGTGACGTACCGGCGGTTGGCTCGCACGAGAACAGCGAGTTGTGGTCTCGCGTTTCCTATTCCAAGTGGTACAACGGCGGCACGGTCGGTGAACTAATTCGTGCCTACACCCACATGGAACAGGCAATTCCAAGCACAACTGTCTGGAGACTAACGACACAGGTCGTCGACGCCCTCCACTTCATGAGCACCTGCGGGGAGGGGGTTCTCCACTTGGACCTCCACAGCGAGAACATCTTCTTGCACTACGAGGGCGCGGAGGGCTCCCCTCCAAACTTCTACATCGGAGACTTTGGCAACGCGGAGCACGGCCCCGCGGGAGACCGCACGAGAGATGTCGGGTATCTTTCGTTTCAGCTCAACCGGTGGCTGTTCGTCTCCCCTGCACCTGAGCCCAGCGGGCGCGACGAGCTGTGGAAATATTTGCACTTCGTCGTCCTGCCGGCCCTGAGGGACATTGCTGCCTCCCAGGAGTCCCCTGATCTGGAGCCAGTGATTGAGCTCTTGCGGAACGCGCCTGCGGGCCCGGTTGAGTCTTTGCCGGAGTGGTTGGACCGCAGGGCCGAATATTCGGGCTTACCCATGTTCAAAACGTACGAGGACGAGTGTGTTGAAGAGCAAGGGGTGAATGGGCCTTGGTACGCGGCAAAGGTGAGTATTGACACAGATAAAAGGCACTTCAAGGTCCTCAGTATCAGCGAGGATGCACACTGCAGTGCGGTCCCTCAAGGCCATTGTGATGACAGCCTGAGAACCCCAAACTCGGCGAAGCGCGGGCGGTGCATTCGTAGTGATTCAAGTGCATTTAAAGCCGCAGTAGCTAGACTTGTACTGACTGAAGCCCGCTACAAGGAGCAGTTTCCTGAACAGGCATATACGGTCTAGGACGAGGCTTTGGGTGGTAATTCAATTGTCAAAATGATTTTTTTTTCTTTTCTCATTTGAGGTATAAATGTTATGTACTATTCTGGTATATGTGCCTGGAATGAAATATGGAGTATAAACAAGCGTTACAAACAGTTGTAGTTCTGTAAAATGGTGCAAGTCTTAAATTCCTGACTTGATGATATCCGCAGCCTATTTAAAGTGAGAGTTGTCAGTACGTGTTGCGTGGACAAGAAAATAAATCCCGCAAGGAAGAGATTCAGAATGACTCGAGGTAGTAGTCATGGGTGTATTAAGCGGCTTACCTTCTCAGCCAGAGCGTAGGTGGGCTGGCATGTGTTGGCACTAGGAACCATGGGCATCACGCTGGCATCAACCACACGGAGGTTCTTGACGCCATACACGCGAAGGGTCTGGTCGACAACGCCGCCGAGTTCCAGGGGCATCATGGCGGAGGTGCCGACGGGGTGGTAGTCAGTGGGCGACAGGTTGCTCGAGATGTAGGCCTTGAGGTCGGCATCGGAGGTGACGTTGGGACCGGGGGCGTACTCGACGGGGACAAACTTGTCCTTGAGCGAGGTCTCAAAGTTATAACGGCGAATGAATTTAATGCTCTCCATGAAGAAGTCGAACTCAACGGGGTTCGTCAGGGCGCGGTAGTCAATGACTGGCTCCGTGTTGTAAGGGTCGGTGGTGTTGATGTTGATGCTGCCGCGGGCGAAAGACTGCATGGCCACTGGGCCCTGGGAGCCATGCTCGGGCTGCAGCATCACACGGGTGAAAGCAGTGTGCTTGGAACGCATCTGGGCGGCCAGGAGCTTCATCTGCGCCTCGTAGCCGGCGACAACGGTGGAGTCCGTGTCGGCGGGCAGGAGGCTGGCGAAGTCCTGGCACTCGAGCTTAGTGGCGATCTGGTCGGCCTTCTCGGAGATGGCGGTGAACGGGAGCCAGCCAGCCAGGTTGGTGAAAGCGATGGTGTATGGGCCGCTCTTGTTGGCTGCCCAGACCTCGTCAGCCCAGTCCTTGAACTCGTTTCCATCGACGAGATCGTTGGGGTTGGGGTGGATATCGGTGATCTTGGAGACTATGAAGAGTTTAGCATCAAACTTCAAAATTGAACGTGGCTATGATCGCCGAGCGAGAGCTTACGAGTAATGTTCATGGTGGCCAGACTGCTGTGGTCGTGGAAGTTCTGGCCGACACCGGGCAGGTCGACGAGCACATCAATTCCACCCTCCTCGAGGACGCTTGCCGGACCAATACCGCTCAGCTGAAGAATTTGAGGAGTGTGGACTGTACCGGCAGACACAATGACCTCCTTGTCTGCCTTGACAGTAACAATAGTGCTGTTACCTGCCAGGGACTGGAACTCGACTCCGGTAGCAGCCAGGTCGTCATCCAGGATGAGCCTGTTTGCCCTGGTGTTGGTCAAGAGGTGGTAGTTTGGTCGTGTGGCGTTGACGTCCAGGTAGTGACCTGTGCCGGCGTAGGAGCGAGTGACGGTTCTCGGGTCCTGCAGCGTAGGGAACCAGAACACGCCAGCCTTTCCGGCGCCACTGTCCTCTGGGAACTCGATTCCATCGAGCTCCTTGAATGCCTCCACCAGAGGGGCGACGCCGGGATAGTAGAACCTTGGCCAGCCGGCGTAGATATCCGAAGAGTCGCCCCAGTAGGATGCATCATACTTGACGCTGTCGAAATTGTCTGTGAGCTCAGGAGGTGGCGCAGTGAAGTGTAGACCCTATGATAGAAGAGTCAGCGCGATGTTATCTAATATCTCTCTAGGAGGACTCCAACCTTCTTGAAAAATGGCAGAATGCCATCCCAGCTCCAGTCAGCGGGTCCCGCTTGAGCCTCGGAGCCGAACAGTGCACCCCAGCGGTCGTAGTCCTCGGCAGATCCACGCATGTTCATCATGGCGTTGACAGACGAGCCACCTCCGACTTGTCTTGCAATAAGGACTGGGCCAGGCTTGCCGTCTAGGTTCGGCTGGGGCACCGACTGGAGACCAGGCCAGTATGTTGCACTGGGATCCCCGACCCGGGTGGCGAAGTTGACCTTCAGGTTGAAATCCATGTCACCAAAGACACCGACTTCGAGGACGAGGACGTTGACGTCGGGATCCTCGGTGAGGCGATCTGCCACGGTCAGACCTGCGGTACCACCTCCAACGATGACATAGTCATAACTCTTCAGCAGCTGGGTTGAGTTGATCTGGCGGGGAATAACGAGGGCGTTGGTGATAGAGCTGGCGGCAAGGAGGGCAGAGAACGTGATGCCTGTCCAGCGAGGCTGGGACTTGTGCTGGCGAAAGAGTGACATTGTCAATATCGATGTATGCACGTCGATAGACAGTATTACGGCGTAGAGAACGGAAGGCGAGTACTCCTCGCTCGAACTCAGTATTGAAACTGGTCTGGATTCTTAAGCTCTATTTCACACTCCTCACTGGCAGCAGATGCGGTCTTGCTCGCGGATGACTGATGTTTATTTAAGCTTGACATTCGCGGTGGATCGATCTATGTTTTGCGCGATCCGGTATCGCCATTTGCCCCTGTATTGCACAGATTGTTTGTCAAACCAACCTTCTTGATCTTGTCAAAGTGTCTTGGCAAGAAGCCAATTATGGCAACTCAGAGTTCAGAGTTTGGTTTCGATCTGCGGTCAACTTGGTCCGCTATCACACTGCCTGCCCTGCATAGCTGACATGCTTGACATGATGCCAAGAGCGTAGGGGTCGTAGATAGATGGTGGATACAAGCCCTGTCGAGGTTACTTCGCCTTCGGGGAAGTTCCAAAGCCTGTTGGTTGCATGCGGTTGGAGCCGCAGAAAGTTAAGTCCCCCTGCCAAGTCGCCGTGATTCGTGCGTTTACTTGGTCTTCCCCTGCGTCTTATACACTGCAACGACACTGCAATGCCGTCTGTCCAGTGTCAACCTCGAATGCCCCACAGCTGGTCCAACGCTGTCCAAACCCCCCGAGAGGCCCCAATATTCGACCAAGGCGCGATTCATTAATGCCACCAAGAAGACCCAAGCTGCCTCTGCATCCATTAATGGGCCTGCAGGGTCTTATCTCATATTGATGGGCTCCACAAGCCCGCAGATTCCGGTAGCCGCGCGCAAGCGATCATGAAGACCTCCGAGAGCCACCGCCGGCCTCTTCCAGGAGCAGCCGTTGCTGCCGAGCCAGTTCTACGATGACGCAAGTTTCCAGAGGACCTTGAGGCGCAAGTAAGCCCGGCACCCCCACGTCGTATTCCGTATTCCGTATCCCGTGTCTCGTCCTGAGTGGGGGGTCCGATACTAAAGAGCAATGCACAAGTTGTTGTTCCCGGTGATGTGGTCAGCCAAGCCCAGAGTGAAGTTGCTCAGATAGGCGAGGACGTCCTGTCGGACCAGGTCATTGCCTGGATCACTGGTGCCGAGACAAACACCCCCTACCTAGCGGGCCACGGTCGGGACATCCTCGGTAAAACAACGTCCAAGCTTGTCGTTGGCAAGGGATGGCGCAGTCTGCATGTTTTCGGAATCGCGAGGGGCGACTGGTTATGACACGTCACTTGAACAGTCGGCCCGTGTCGTTCAGTCCCCGAGGCTGCAGCTGTGGAAGAGGGTTCCGCGGTCAACATCTCCTATCCTTCGGCATGCAGGACGGGGCGGCTCGGATGCTTCAGCTCCGGCTGGCCCGTCCTGGCCTCGACCCAGGCCTGCGCAGAGTCCTCGGGAACGCGCTGGAGCATCTCCTGTTCAGGGGATGACTGAGAGGACCGGCGGGAGCGACGTCTCCCTCACAAGAAACCGTTTCCCGGGGGGAAACCTTCGCCAGAGACGCTCCTCGCTGACGCTCAGGAGAAAATACCCCTGGCCCATGGTCCATCTACGGGTGCAAATGGCTCTCCAGTGCAACTGACTCAATCATAATCGGCCTCTTGGCACGCAAATAGAACAGAGTCAGCGCGTTCTAAGCTCTCATGAAGGCGGCACCACTCGCCGCCGATCACTCAGGCGGGCCGTCCTATCGGAGGGGCCGGTACGGAGCTCAACGGAGTTCGGATCCAACGGCCAGATAATAAGCTCGGGACCCGGTCCCTACCCGCGGCGCAGCTCGAGCTGGAGGACATGTGTGGCTGGCTCCTGGGCCAGGAAGGTCACGGCATCAAGGAGATCAGAACCGTCCTCGCCATCACACATGTTCCTTCTGCCGTAGCTGCCGTTGGTTATGTCGGCCGCGCGCTCGACGTCGCCAGAGCATATGCTAAAGTGAGGCAGGTCGGCGCCGGGCGGGGCAAACGGGTCCTGCTGGCCCAGAGCTCACTGCACATACAGGCGCCGGCGGGTACGACGGGCAAGTACCATGGCCTGATGCTGCTCACCTCCTTCACATCGCACATATGAGGCTTGGACGAGAACTCCGAAAAGGGACTTTTATAGCTGTCCACATCGCCAGCCACCATCACCCCCAGCCAGAAGCACGTCGTACCCCTCCTTCGGGTGCACACGCCGCTATGCAAGGCCTACGTCTGCAAAAATGCGACTCACGTCCTGTATGAATGCATGGAGGCGCTGGGCGGGATTAGCTATCTTGAGAACGAGGAAGCCCGGCACCTCAACATCGTAAGACTGCACCGTGGCCGCTGTGTCTCGTCCGCATGGCTGGGCACTACTGATGAAAGGGGGCCAGGAGTCCATAGATGCCCTAGATTCGTTGTTTAGTAAGACTGTGGTGGACTAGTCCGGCTTAGCGGGCAGCAAAGCAGCAGCAGGCCCCCTTCCAATGGACTGGCAGGGGACGCTGAAGGAGACCCTGGCCCAGGATTCACAAGCAGTTCTCACTACAGATGCATGGCGTATCCTCTGGGATGTGGATGAGGGTCTCAGTGACATACTGCTCTGTGCAAATGTACACGGCGACGGCAACCTCAAACGGCATTGGATATACCATCCCGATGGAGGCTCGCCACGGGAGGTCAAGCCCGCCAAGGTAGTATGTCGAGGCCGTGGTGTTTCCACGACTATCTAGAATATATCGAAGTAGCCATCATCGTCAAAGCCGTTGTCATCCCAGTCCGAGGAGCCATCCCGTTCGGAGTCACCTCTCTGTTCCGACTCATCGTTCTTTTCCGAGATCTGCCTCTGCTCGGAGATGTCATCATGCTCCTCCAAGACGTCGTTCTTTTCCGAGATGTCACTATGTTCGGATGTTTCATCACGCTCGGGCTCCGAGGTGTCGTTCTGTTCCGCGATATCTTTCTCTTCCAAAAGTTGATCCCAGTCCGTGTCATCCTGTCTCCCCAGATGTCATCCTGGCCCGGCACATCATTAGCAGACATCGCATGCATCCAAAGTAATTCATCGGGGCGCCACTCAGCTGGGTTTTCAGACCCGCAGTGACCCGCCGTGAGGGATTGAAGCGTGGTACGTCCTCGCACTCGGACCTTTGCAACACCGCTACCTAGAGGTGGCACAGAGTCGATTGCCGTGGATGAGACGCCTTCTTGGCTGCCTTCAACGGCCAGGCGGGCCGCGAGGCAGAAGACGAGTGCGTCCCGGGTCTGGAGCCCCGGGGCGTGGGCGGACAGCTGCCGCTCATGGGTGCCGAATGTGTCGGCCCGAGGCTGGGATGCGGCATGAGCGCGATCAAGATGGCTCTGCAGCGCGGTGACCTGCTCAGGCTCCACGGTCCCGTGGATGAAGCACGCGTCAGACAGGGCCACGAGCTCGGGGCAGCCCGCAGGCTCCTTTGTTGCGATCATGACACGGGTGTTGTTGAGCCTCTGCTGCCGCATGACAGACTCGAGTTCTTTGGTCAGCTGTTTGCCTTCTGTGGCCTGAGTTAGGATCTGTGATTATCATCAGTTCTTGTATTCCTTTTTCTCTCGTCACCTGCGGAGACAAGGCCTACCCCATGGGCGTCGTCCATGGCAACGATACGGCCGCAGCTCGGCTGCCCCTCCATGAAGATGCTCAGCACGACGGAGAAGAGAGCACACGCGGCCTCGGGGTTGAGCTGAGGATGGCTGAGGTCCACGATGGTCAAGGAGCCGGGTTGGAAATCCCATGCCTCATCCTGGTGGACTGCTGGGCCTTCCGAACTGTCCTGTTCAGTCTTCGGCTTGATCAAGGTCTCCAGAAAGGCCAGACGCAAGCCCAAGCTTTCTCTCTCTGTGTCTATCCATTTCTGTCTGTCCAGTCTTTCCCAGAACTAAGAATATATAAAACCAGTACCAGACAATACTATATAGTTTCATTTTTAATCCCTATATATATAAAATATATATAGTACCTTTATATAGTAATAAACACTTAAAACTTAATATTTAAAGAAATATAATATTAATAATAATAAAAAGAGAATATAGTATATTTATAAGAGCTAACATCTACTCACTTAATAATTATATCCACTCACTTAATTCCTACTATCCACTTACTTAATATAAGGTTTTAATATATATAACCTATATAATACTATATACCTATTAAGCTTACCTTATAATAACCTTAAAATTATATATTAAATACTTTCTTATTATTATACCCTTAAAAATAAAGAAAATTAATTTATATAGATTAAGTTAAATATTTATATATTTATTTTTAAATTAAATAAAAATAAAGAAATTCTCCTTTTAATTAAATATAATAACCTTTTTATTTTAATATTTAATTATTATTTATTTTATTATTTTATTATTTTAATAATAATTATATTAATAATTATATAATTATAATTATATTAAACTTATAACTATATTAATAGGAAATTAAAAAATAATAATAATAGTTTATTAATTAATTTTATTTTTAACTTTTATTATATTTATTAATTATTTATATTTTATATATTAACTTTTAATAATAAAAGAAAAACTAAATAATTTAAAATTAAAAGCTTAAATAAAGCTATTATATTAAATATTAAAGTTATATTTTATTAACTTATTAATAAATAGATAAAATTTTATATAATTAGTATTTTATAACTTTAATTTATAAAATAGTTATATTAAAATATTAAATTATAATTTAAACCTTTTAAAGATTATTATATTAATTATATTTAATAAATATTTTATATTTTAAATTAATAGTATTATATAATAATATTTTTATAATAAATATTAAAGTTATAAGTATTTATAAAGTAAAAGGATATTATTTATAAACCTAATTAGTTAAAGTATATAAATTAATAACCTTTTTAATATTATATTATTATAATTAATATTAAATATTTTACTATTAATTAGTTAATTTATTTTTATTATAAATATTATACTAATTAATAAAGAAAAGTTTTAAAAGTTTATATATAAAATA